ATTTACAGTATAACCAATGACTGACGTTGCGTGTCCGTGATAATTCAATTTGAGCGGCACAGTTCCTCAACAATTTCAGATTTCAGGAGACAAACGTTATTTTGCTGTTAATGCTCTCTCCGTGCTTGTAGATGATTTCGGCATGACAGAGGGTCTGAAACTGTTTCAAAGGGACCACAGAGAGAATGTTGCTTTTGTTTTTCACTGCAGGTTCCCTCGTTTCAAAGTAAATGTTTCTTTTTGTGACAATATAAAGCGCGGGGTTAACGCAAGCTGAAGACATGCCGACTGTCATCAGAGCACTCGTCTTCCTTTAGCCTCATTGTGTATTCTCTCCGTTCTCATCCGTTTGTCCCGCTACAAGAGAATGTAGTAAAAGTATAAAAGGAGATCATCTTCCACAATAGTCCAATAGAAAAACCCCATTTATTTTCTGCGGCGGGGAACTAGAGCAGAACTAACTTCCAGGACTTTTTGTCTTTTCTCCAGAAATTGTTTTGCACCACGACAGGACACGATCTCAGAGGGGAAGACCCTGTATCTGGGAAGGAGCAATCTAATAGCAGTTGTGTCAATCATCACATTGCTCATGGGAGAGACCAGCGTAGGCACACTGTCAAAAGACTATTTGGACTCGGACTGCTTAGGTTAATGTTGTCTTTATTCATAACATCCACAGACGTGGCGCACAATATCTACAAGCATGGTCATGTAAATAGTTTGGAGGCTAAACTGCTGACTCACTGACTACAGGATACCGTGTGTTTAGAAAGTCACCAATCCGTTTCTGCATAATCTCAATTATGACGGCATTCGCTGATATTAGCCACCAGAAGCCAGTGAGCACATTTAGTACGCGAGCGTGTGTTCATTTACTTAACTTTCAAGGATGATTTTTTTACGTCATCGCCACCAGGAAATCTATTTGTGTGTGTGTTTGTGTTGAATGAATATTTATTGTGCTCAAATAGTATTCTATGCTCAAAGGACCTTTTGAAATGACTCACAATTTTTGAAAACATATTCAATTGAATATGTAATACCGGCGTGCCGGCTACGGGTCGTCTCAAGGGTCCGAAACCTCTTGAATGACACTGAAAGACTGAATGGCAAAAGTTTAGGGGTTTGACAAAATAGGACATTATGCATGTATATATGTATTTATTTACGTATAAGCGATTAGAAAATGGCCCACTGTACTGACTCAAACAGAGCACGTCTCCTCATGTCGGTAGGTAAGAGAGCTAGTTAGCGGTTAGCGGCTGGTGGGCCAGTGCCCCACTGTGCTAGGCTAACAGAGCTAACAGCTAACGGAGCAGACAGCTAACAGAGCTAGCAGCTAATAGAGCTAACAGCTAACGGAGCAGACGGCTAACGGAGAAGACAGCTAACAGAGCTAACAGCTAACGGAGCAGACAGCTAACCGAGCTAACAGCTAACGGAGCAGACAGCTAACCGAGCTAACAGCTAACGGAGCAGACAGCTGCACATCATCTAAGTAGAGAATCGTAAAAACGCATTGATACCCTTGCAGTCTGGGTAGGGGCCAACTGTAGTTTGAATTAGTTCCATCAATCGTTACAGCAGTGGTAGACAAAGCAGAGTGTAATTGAATCTTGCGAATATTTATATGAATATTAATATGAATATTCCGTGATATTTTGAAATTTGTCACTGCAACCATACTGACCATCTAAAATATTAACTTATTCTGTGTATTTCTCATCAATGAACCTCTTAAAAAAATACTACTGACCCCCCGTGGCATGACATATGACCTTTTAAAAATAACAAAAAATCATAGCTGTGGCCCCTGTACAACAGGGATTAGATTTCTGAATAATGTAAACGCAAAGGTCCAGTGACAAAGGCGGGCTGAAAAGGAGTTAAAATGTGTCAGGATTTTCTCCATTAAACACCGCTTTCTGTCCCCAACATGGAGCGGCATATTGAATAATTTACACGATGCTGCATATTACATCAGTACAAACTAGAACAGGATCCATATATCTTTCATAAGCAGTGTTGTTTTATTTTTTGAAAGCCCAGTGTATCTGGGAGACGGGGGTGCTGGAGACACCGCGCTCCTCTCCAGGGTGTTAGATGACGAACTAGAGGAGGCTGCTCTGCCTGTCCTGACTTCAGAGCAGGGCGCCCGTCATTGGGCTGGCAGACCGGGGGACGAGCCTCGGGAATGAAAGGGGGGAGGAGGGGGAGAAGAGTGGAGTGCGTTTTCTGTGTGTGTGTGTGTGTGTGTGTGTGTGTGTGTGTGTGTGTGTGTGTGCGTGCGTGGGTAAGAGGGGACACCTCAGAGGTCGTCTGAGGAGGCAGTGGAGCGTGTGGAGAGGCTGCCATCGCACAGCTGCCACACCAACTGGACACACACACACACACACACACACATCTGTGTGGAGGCATGAGCATACCACGCGTGCACACACACAAAATCAGAAAGGTACACAGGGCAAACAGGGGCGAGCACGCAGGGCGGTTGTCACACGAGAGTCGCTTCCTCAAACAGACGTGCGCACGCACACACGCGTGTGAATGAGCGCTGAGTCCCAGTTGTGCGCGTACAAATGGGACTCAGCGCTCATTCACACTTGCAAGCTTTACACTGGCAAGCACTTCACACATGTGCACGCACGTGCACGCGCGCGCGCACACACACACACACACACACCGTGCCCTTGGCTGATGTGTAGAACCCCGGACTGAGGGATTCATTTGGCTAATCTCTTGAAACATGAAAACATTAGAACGATTATTTACAATTCAATCACCCTGTTCGGGCTATTCAAAAGTTTATCTCTAAATATTGCTGTTGCTTTTTTGTTGTCTAATATTTAAGTCTTTATGTAAACATGTGTTTGTATTCATTACTGATTTTCTTGCAAATGGTTTTCTCAATAAAATCGATCATCAGATACAATAGTTCTACAGAATTCAGACAGGATCCGTTTCCAAGCAACTGAATGCTTCTAAACACAGCAAAAACCACTACAGGGTCGAAAGGCTCATGCTCTGCCTATAGTCAGTAGTCAGTAGTGATGAGAAAGCACTCTGCTTATTGTATATAAACTATAAAAACTAAATAAACTATAAAAAAAATCTAATCTAATCCATAATTTCCCTTTTATTTCAAATAGAAATGCAGTGGTGATTGCGGGGTACGTGGATGGTATCCAACAATGAGTCTCTTGTTTTTTTAACAAGACGATACAATGATTATGTGTGTGTGTGCTTCATAACTACCATCATAACGGGCTTTGCCGTAAATCACTTTGAATGGCTTTGTTTCTGATTGGAGCTGAATAAATAAAATGACGTTGCCTCATCGAAGCTAAAAGCCATCCAACCCTTTACAGGCAAAACCAGCCATCACCACAAAAAAAACAGGACAATGAGCTTTACTTTGAACTTCAGCCTAGATCACGATCAAGATACCCGCTGAGTTTTAGGTGAGATAGAAAAAACAATGCAAAAGGTATCTTTGAGCACCCTGTCACATCCGAGATGAGGCTGTGCAGCCCCCCCCCCCCCCTCCCTTTGTGCCCACGGCCAAATCAGCGCTGTTGCATCTTTCAAAACAGCACAGCGGGAGGGGAGCGGCCAAAATAGAGCGTGGCGAACTCTATAAATTTGCTATGTGGCTGATGGGGAGTGATATCAATGATTCAACTATCTTATCCGGGCCTGTGATCTAGTAAATGTACCCCCCCCTCCCCCCTCGCTGTGACGTGCCGCCGTGATCAGTGCGTTGGATAACGGGACGATTCTCATTCCTCCGGAGGAGCCCGTACAGGGAACGCACACACGCACGCATACGCACACGCAAACACACACACAGAGCCGGAGGTTGGAAGGTGGGTAGCTGATAACCTGCAGCTACGAGGTTAATGTGTGGTAGTACACATGCTCCGTGTCGAGCAGGGACATTAATGCTTCGCCGAGTCGCACTTCATCATGTGCTGAGGAGCAGCGCACACTCCATTAGAGTCATGGACAACCACGGGCAGCCAGACAAAACACACACCACAAAAGAGACAACAGGGGGTGCACGGACATTGTAAAGCGTGGCAAAGTGCAGCCTCTGCTCACATAATGAACGTCTCTGCCTGACAAAGGGCCCAGTGTTGATAGTTAATAGGTAAGTGGAGTTAATGTGTGCCATTTGTAAGCAATGAAAAAACAGATTCAAGTTTAAAATAAAAGCCGTATCTTCTTCACACAATCTTGAACTGGATGTCTATTTTTTTATTTGAAGCATCTCTTGAGGTTCTGTCTCTGCCACCGCTGGCAACGTCTCTGCAGATGCTGCGAGGAGCTCGAGCGTTCACAAGCGTGAAATACCTCCAGCCCGCCTTGTCTATTGTTGCTACAGGGGTGCGTGTGACATATATAGATATGTATATGATTTCAGTGATATCCCCTCATGTTCAGAGGGGCTTTTCTAAAACACACAGCATGAAACATATCTGCAGTACCTTTCCTCAGCATGATGAGTCAAATTAAATGCATATTTCCATGTACTTTACTGAAATGTCTTGTAATTATGTGTAAACACACGCTGAAATGACTAAGCTGTGAGAGTTTAACTCGAGCACGACTCCAACACGACTCAACGCTGTCAGATTTAGATGCAGGCTGGTGGAGAACATTTGGCTGTTTTTTAAGTCAGGCGCATGTGTTTAAAAAAAAAAAGGTATGCTAATACTGAGTGGCAAAGCTCAGAAATCAATGCTGTAAATCCGCAACGTGACCAAGTCTTCTTCCTGGCACCGGCTTGTTAACAGTGCTATTATTGCACAGATGAACTGTACTTCTTCACATTCGAGAATAAATGATCGATTCTTGGATTATCAATAGCAGGAGAGGTTCCCTTAAATAATGGCCATTCAAACCATTGTTACCTTGATTTGCTCTTCTCATATTTGGAATAGAAAAGGGAAGGCAGGGCGTCGATGTATCAGCGAATGGAAAGAAGGCAGAGCGCTCACCTCATGGAGCGGAGGTCCCAGCCCCGTATGGCCGTGTCGTTCGCTGTGGCGAGCTGGCTGCAGTTGTGGTGGGGGCTCCACTTGCCCGAGGTAAACTTCAGCTGACCTTTGCCCTCCAGGGTGGCGCTGCTGGAGACCTGCGGAGGGCCGGAACACACCACACATCTGAGCCGGGACGTGAGTTCCATCCGAATGGAGCTGTGACAGGTCGAGGCGCAGGGCGCTCAATCAGCATAATACGGCTTCATTAGGAGTCATTTTCTCTGCAGGCCGCTCTCAGGTCCACAGTCATTCAGTGGGGGCCTGTATTAATATTTTGGGCATTACCGGCACGCCGACTGCCTGCGGATTTATTCCACGCTGAAAACGCGTGCACGCTAGAACTTCTAACTTTCTCTGCAATGAATCTCTCTCTCAAGATGTACTTTTGGTCTGACTGTCTCACTTTTGAGACCCCCTACTAATCCACAGCTGCAAAGAAGTTGCACCATGTCTAACTTTTAGACACCCACAAAGGTTAAACACTCATCAATGTCACACCAGCCTGCCAGCCAATCAAATCCAGGAAGAGGCGGGCTTTACTGCTTCCCGTCGACTTCCTGCTTTGATCTGGTGGGGACAGAGTGGCAATGGCACATGCCGCGGTGTGCGCACGCAGTGGTCTAGTCGTTCTTTTAAAAACATAGACTATTAGCAGCAGTACTGTTTCCCAGCCAGTGTCACCATGATGCAAATTCAGATACACACAATGGTCGGTCCATCTTGCCGATCTGTATCCAGCTTCTACAAATGGTGTATCTACAAATGGCAGCGTCTTATTTTCTCGCCACATGTATCTTACATAAGAACGGAATGTTCTGCCAATCCCTCCAGCCTGCAGCGCGCTCCAACATATGGATTAGTGCAATCTGTTCTCATTGCAGTGCCCTACAGCAGGACAGCGCAATCCAGAACCCCCCCACTGGGAGGCAAGGCATGCACCTGCTGCTCTGTCAGCAGACCTACTGACCCCTGGCTCTCCTTGGTCTCACTGCAGGGATCTATACACTAGATCGCTCAGAGTTACTTATGGATCAACTGTCAGCTCCAACGTGAGCGCTCAGAGGATTCAGGAGAGCAGAATCAATCCAGCCTCTTTAGGCCGCTTTGAACATTTCATTTAGACAGAAATGTTGCAGGATTCAAACCATCGAGCAGAGAGCGATTGCGTGTCTTTTCCAGGCTTTTCAAACCAGGCGACATGCTTGTTACGTGATATTTATCAAACTTGCTTACATATAAATCACGGGGCGGCGGTGAAGGGTTGAGATTGGTCAAAGTCTTTGAATTCTAAAGCATCCAATTAATTCAGCAGCCTGGCTTTGGAAACGACGATCTAACCCTTAAAACTACAACGCCTCAAACAATTCCAAAACCACTGGCTCTCTGCGGGGCGTTTTATCCTCGCCCTTCTCCCATTTCTACTCCTTTCTCTTTCCTTCCCTCCCTCCCTTTCTCCCCCACTGCCCCCTCAGCCTGTTGGAGCAGGAATCATCGATCGGCCCGTCGCTGCCCAGCTCCTCGGTTTTCTCTCATTATTTCAGCTAGCGAGGACAGCAGGAGAGAGAGAGAGAGAGCAGCCAGGGAGGGAGAAAAGCATATAGGATAAAAGGAAGGAGAACAAAGAGGGTGAAGGAAGAAAAGAAAGGCAAGAAGGGAACAGAAAAGAGCTGAAGAAAGGTGGCGGATGAAGGGAAGGATACAAATCGGATGAGCAGGGTTTCCTCTGTGGCCCTGATGTCAAATTTCATGAGATTTCCATGATGAAATAAGAGAACAACCTTCTTTTTATCTCATTTTTTAAGCCGGGTCGAGGTTACTGAGCATAAAGACCATCACCACGTCAAACCTGCTACTTATTTTGTTAAAGGCCCGGTCAGCTAGAATGTTGCTAATAAACCTGAAGGATAAACGAATGAAGAGTCCGTCCCTCACTCACACTACTGGCTGGTCGATTTGGTTTTTTAGTTTTTTTCCCCCATTGGCTGTTTCAAAATGAACAGTTGTTCTGAAATGTCTCTGATGCGTGCGTGGTTGTTTGTCAAGACTCCTCCACCCTCGAAGCTCCGCCCCGATGAACCCCCCCCGTGAGCCGGCGTCACGGCGCTATGGGCAATGCTGGTCCCAACCAATCACATGTTGTGTTTCCACCCTGTTCCCAGAGCTATTTGACCACATCAACCAGCGCAGCGGCGACGCGTTGCCGGCCTGCAGCTACGAAGGCGGCGTGGGCGCGGGAAATACGACAACCTCCTATTTCAAGCTGTGCCACCGTGAAGGACGACGCTACCTGTAAAGAACACTCAAGTTCCTACAAAGTCCACCACTCCTTTGCTCCGGGATCGCGGTGGTGCACCAGCAGCGCCTGAGCGCCGTGTGCCTCAGGGGCTCCCAGCTTTATTAAAGCCCTAACCCAATCAGAGCCCCTAACGGCTCGCTGCGCACAACACAGGAGACGCCGCCGTTCACGACGCAAGCGGCAGTAATGCAAAGCTATCTGTCAAATGTGCTTCCTCCAGACTGAGTGTGTGTGTGTGTGTGTGTGTGTGTGTGTGCGTGTGTGCTCGGGACAAGGTGTGGAGATGTTCCCGGCTCAATTCTGCCAGCGATTCTAATTGATGAGCTGCACACACGCGGACGCACACAAATCTCCCTTCAAACAATGCACACTGGTGAGCTTATGCACACGATCTTCTCTTATATATGCGCACACACACACACACACACTAATCTAGGCCAGGCCCTTGAGAGAGAGCGAGAGAGACGTCCACACTGCAGCTGGACACGTCTTGAGATGAACACATCAGCCTCTGACAGATAGAGGGGACGGGAGAGAAGAGAGTGGGATAAAAAGGAGGGAGGGGGGGAGGCAGGGAGGGAAGGAGATTAGCATTCTCATCAGCACCAGAGGAATTTGTCTTGGCTGCCAAGCTCTTCCTCCTCTTTTTCATTCCCTTTCTCCTCATCAAGCCCGCTCTCTCCTTATCCCTCTCCCCCCTCCCGCCTAATCTCCATCTTTCAGTCGGAGATTAGGAGGGAGTCCTGCATTGCTCCCCCTTTCTCCGTCCTCCCGTTTTTCTTATTATGCTGCTCTCCATTACTTTTCACCCTCTCTCCTTCTCCCTCAGTACTGGATTTAATTAGCTGTGCGGCTTGTTGTCAGTGGACAGAATCAGACCCCGCCCCCATGGTCATTCTCGACCTCACACCGGGGTCATGGCAGAGGGGCCAAATACGCGAGTCACAGGTGGTGCATTTTGGCCTCTTTTGGCATTGTTCCCCTGGCGTTTTAAAGTGTCCACCAGGTGGAGCTGTTTATCCTCGTGGGGTTTGCTTTGTGTGCAGCGCCGCCCAGCTTGACCTCGTCGCAGCGCCTGTACTGACCAAAAACATTCTTTTACAAGTCACAAGTTCTGAGCGAGTAATATTTAGAACGTGGGCTTTGACTGAACCGAAGAACTAGTTTTGTGTTTTTTATTCTAGTTGCATGTGGCTGTTCTAGACAAAGAGATCAGCATCCGTTTAATAATGTATGATAATATGTTTTGCACTTTCTAACAGTGTGAGGACCCCCCCTCATTGAATGCTATGCTACCGTCAGTGGAACTCCAAACATCCTCCACAGATTTCACAATAAAGGCCAGGATTTGTATTAAAGAAAAGATAAATGAGTGAATATAAAATAACTATATTCAGTCACGACTGTACTTGACTGAGGCTGAATAGTTATTTCATGTCAACGCCCCTTCCAATGTTTAGCTTTTTATGATGTCTTTATTTGCACTTGGCTATTCTCAGCATTTCATTTTACTTTTCCTACATCGGATGACATCATTGTTTCCTGCTTCCACAGAGCAGTACGGGTGCCGCTTGGAAAAGGGTTGCTCATTGAATTTCTTCCCCTTCTTAGTGATCCACAAAAATTAGATTGATTTAGGATTTGTTCAAATAACATGAATCGATCCGGACATAAATACAAACGCTTTTAAAAATGCATTAACAACTTCAATAATAACTCAAGAGAAACTGGATTGCAGAAAAAGAAAGACAAATTTTTCAATGAAAAATTGATGAACGTGTGTATAAACTATGTATTTGGAAATACTTAAGATGCATATAGTACACAGGACGCCAAAATGGTTCGCTGTGTGTGTGTGTGTGTGTGTGTACCTCGTAAGAATTTAAACACAATATAAAGCAGCTAGAACATCGCTAACTTGCAGCCAAATCTGTGTGTCACACACACACACACACACACACACTAGGATCTATAAGTTGTGCGTATGAATTACAAACGAGTCATCTGTATTCTTCCTCGCTGATGGTCTGGAACAACACACACACACACACACACGCATATGAAAGCATGGGCGGGCACACCACTACTCTATTGCTTCTTCATCACACACGCATGCACACACACCTGACACACACCATTATGTTGAGTCTTTAGATACATAATGGCCATTTTAATTGCAGAGCCGGCAGGTTGGAGGCAAGGAGTTCACAGTGAAGAGCCTCTTCACCTTGCATTAGGAAGGACACAACTACAGGCGAGCTGGTTTCATGGCTGATCCATTCAGAAAGTGGATGAATGCATCGTAACAGTTGGACCTTTCCTGTTCCTCTCACACTCCACAACTCACTTCATCTAAAGATGCTGCAAAAAGCACTGCAGCCTATTTAATAGCAGCCTATTAAAGCCTCGGCTTTGGAAACACGTTAAACTATCAAACACAGTACAGTGTCCACACATTGGCCATGTAGTGCAGCTCCCCGTGGAACACAGTGTGTGACACCAATCGATTAGTGCACCAGACTGCTGCTATCACCGTTGGAGCGACTTGACCAGACTAAAATATCATAAACCTGCCCGTGTGTGTGTGTGTGTGTGTGTGTGAGACACAGAATGAATAGTGGACTCTCTTTTGTCGCACAGGGGATGTGTGCGCTAGATAACACCAAGACGATATGGTGTGTTATCAAATAATGAGTTAGCTATTGTGTGATATGGTGTGCGTGCCTGTGTATGTACGTGTGTACGTGTGTGTGTGTGTGTGTGTGTGTGTGTGTGTGTGTGTTACCGTGGCCTGTGTAGAGCTCTCCTGCAGGTCCCAGAGCAGTGCATGGTTATCAGCCAATGAAATCACACGCTTGCCATCACCCATAGGTTCCCACAGCACGCTGTAAATACACAAAGACATGCACACGCGTGACTGTGAGCGCATGTACATGCACACGCGTGAATGTGAGCGCATGTACATGCACAGAAAGGTCACAGTGAATTAGAATACAGATGTTGGTCGAACATGCAGAGAACATGATGCAACCCAGGAGCGACTGGAGCTTCTTGGTCCGATTGTCCCCTCCCTGTTAATACAGCACCTTGGACAATGTCACAGTTAAATGAACTATTTGTTACATACTCAACTTTTATAACAAATACTAAGGTGGCTCTAGTTTTCTTTTGGATGCAAGGCAGGATGCAAGTGTTAAGTCTAGTTTATGCTTCTGCGTTTTCAGAGAGACGCAAGGACACGCAGATGCAAGAACCCCTTGCGTGTCCCTCGCGTGTCCCTTGTGTGTCCCTTGTGTGTCCCTTGCGTGTCCCTTCACACCTCCTTGCGTGCGTCGACCCATTTTTCTAGACTAGCGTCAAAAGCTACACAGCCTCCTGCAGCGCACAAGGCTGCAATTGGTCCGCTAACTACGTCCTTTACGGAGTCTCACATTCCCGTTTTCATAGCACAATACGGCCATTATTAAAAGGACGAATGTTTACGAGAGAACGGATCAGACTGAAGAGCTTTTGTCTGAAGAAATGCGTAAATATGACCGCTTATACAAGCCGTCATTGGCGGACTATAAGGACGCCGGATGGCCTCTGATTCATGGAGGGAGATCTCCACAAACGAGGGGAACAAAGTTGTGGAGGAAAATACGGGACAAATGTGTCCGTGATGAAAAGCAGCAGTGTGGATGCACGGGGCAATAAAGTCTATGATCAATAAATAAAGCAACCAACGACTTCCACACACAAAGACGTGACTCTCTAGGTCGTCTTCAACAGAACAGGTGACTCCACCTGTTGTTCTGGAGGCGAATTGCTCTGCAACACACGCAAGACTTTACAACCATGAATGGAAACGAGTGCGTCGACACGGCGGTGCGTAAAGACGCTGAAGCAGAAACATGCGCCGGCCTTTAGTGCTTCCATAATGATCCCTTCGGACTGCTCCGCCATTTAAGACCGGCACTACAGCCGGGACTTCCTCATCGTAGTGCTGATGAAGGAACATCACTGATGGACATGGACAACAATAGAGCCCACTTCTTCTCGTCTCCGTTTCTCTACTTTCCCCCGGTTCTCTTCATAGCGTGCAGCAGAGTTGTACAGGTTCACCACAGAGCCCCTGTTGATGAATTCAGCAGCCACATTCAGACCAAGGTACCAATGACCTCAGTGCTATTGATTCCTTGCTGCGTGCTCCTTGGAGCCGGGTTGGTCCACTGCACTCTGCTTGAAAAGATGTTGTTGTTTTCTTCCAGGCTCGCCACAGGGACCTTTCCGGACCTGACACACTGGAGCCCGAACTGATGCTTTACACTTCCCCCGCTGTCGATCTGATCACTCGTATTCTTTTGCCGTTTGTTCTCCTCAGTTTGGGGAAGGCCCAACAGCTCTGCAATGTCGGCAGAAACACAACTACACGGGATGAGAAGGAGGACACAACCCAAGTGAGAAAGCTGCGCTTTGAAGTGGGAGTCCTGTCGGCTTTAAAAGCAATATGTCAGCGCAGGCAGAGACCCGGCAATAAGCTAAACACAACCGTGGCCAGGAAAGAGGCTACACGCTTGTTAGGGGGTTTGGCTTTTAAAAAAAGTGTCTAATCTGGTTTAAAGGATGTAAAATGTCACAGCGGTGCAGACATGGCCCGGCTGAGGGTTTGGATGCCTGAGCCCATCGCAGCTATAAAGCCTGTCACCAGTTTACGATATGACGCGTTAATTTAAGGAGGCAGGTCCATTAGACGACTCCATTTTCTCAGACTCATTTGTCGGCTTGGAGCGACAATGCACGGGAGGGCAGTTAAAAGCTTGCTTCTGGAATTATAATCCAAAAGTCAAATATGCAAATATGCACAGTGCTATTGGAAAAAGGAGCAGCGGAGAGATGGAGAGGGAGAGAGGGGCGGGGCTTATAAGGGCTGTCGATTCATCACGCCGGCGGGACAGATTTGAGTGCCCTCCTGTGGAGCAGGATGTCATGGACAACACACACACACACACACTCACGCATCCTCACACGCACACACCTTTTTGTTGCTGAAGAGGACAGTACACGTTTTCATCACATGATGCAAAGTGCAAAATGAAACCAAATGACCGCCATCACTGAGTCGGGCATGCAGAGAACATATGAACTAAAAAACTCAATGAAACAATGGAACGACAGGAATGAATCCTTCATGACTTCTATGAGTGGATTCTGTATCTTTAATTTAGCTTGTAAACTGGCTACTTGGGAAACAACTTCATTCCCCCATCTCCAAGTTACTGGTGGGACGGTACACCAGCTCACAGAAGGAGAATACATATAAAACGTTGTTCATGTTGTCAGGTGACAATCGTAGTGTCCCCAGCAGAGTCCAACGTCTGTGTGCAACGCATCCTAAGCGTTGATGTGAGCTACTATGAAACATCTCGCAAACCACTCCAGTGTCTCCCGCAGGGACACTTCCCCATGCAGAGAGGAGGAGCGGGGATCAAATCAACCTATTGATTGGAGCCCACAGTCCGCCCGTACAAAAACAAACAACCCGATGATCTAATTGTTTTACCTTTTGTGCCCGATCTTTCATGTCCCCACAAGGAGATTAATACGAGAACACACACACACAGCTTACCGGAGCTCCCAGCCTCCGGTCCTTATGGACGGAGACTGCAGCACGCCAGATACCACGCACACATGCACGCACACATAAATCACACACCACAGTGCCAATTAGAATGCACTCACCACTTTTACACACTGCACGATTCCCTATAGTATCAATTAAATCACGCGCTGAGAGGGAGAGGCGGTTCAGGTGTACAGAATCTCATGTTTCCTTCTCCCCATATTAGTTATGTGCCTTTGACCTTGAGCTCTGGCTGCTGGACTGCTATGTAAATAGTGTGGGGGAGAGCTGTGGGGGTTTCACAGCCACATATATCTACGTCTGGAACGCACTGCCCCTTCACTCGCTCTTTGTCTCTCGCCGCCGCGCCTCCTCCTCAGACTGATGGCCCTCTTTGCTGTGCTTTGCATCCATAGGAGTTTAATCCCCGCGCCTCAGACACAGAGCCAACACAGGCAGAATGTGTCCGCGTCTTTCCTGCTGCGGACTGGGATAGTTGTGCCATTAGGCCGTTACTGTATGGAACCACCCAAGAGTGAAATTATAAAGAATACATGTGTAACATAATAAGACAATAATTGTGGAAATATACACTGAATGAATAAATACAAAATGTTAAAATCTGAAGAGATATAAATAGAAGAAGAATATGGAAACCAAAGACAAATAACAGAAGGATAACTATAATCTATAACTGTAATCCATTTTCACTAATTCTAACTCTTTATTCATGACATTTTATTAAATATATTCATTCTGTACACACAAGAATACAACGTCCAAGACCAGAGAGCTGTGACATCATGGATAAAATTGTAGACCTGCACAGGGCTGTGATGGGCTACAGGACCACAGGGGTCCCCCTGCTCAAGCCAGCGCATGTCCAGGCCCGTCTGAAGTTTGCCAATGATGATGATCCAGAGGAGGTATGGGACAAGGTCATGTGGTCTGATGAGACAAAATAGAGCTGTTTGGTCTAAACTCCACTCGCCGTGTTTGGAGGAGGAAGAAGGATGAGGAAGAACAGCGTCCCGACCGTGACGCATCGTTCTTTGGGGATGCTCTGCTGCAAAGGGGACAGGCCGCCTGCAGCGTATTGAGCGGAGGATGGATGGAGCCATGTATCGCGAGATATTGGCCAACAGCCTCCTTCCCTCAGTAAGAGCGTTGAAGATGGGTCGTGGCGGCGTCTTCCAGCATGTCAACAACCCCGAAACACACAGACGTAAGAAGCATATCAAGGTCCTGGAGTGGCCTCGCCAATCTCCAGACCTGAAGCCAAGGGGACCCTCGCAGCATAAAACCACGTTTCCTAAAGAAATTGGCCTTCACATTCAGACACACTTGAGCAGGTCCACCACACACACACAGCTGGACCTCAGAGTGATCGACTCAAAGCCTTTCACTCAGAATAATCTCACACATACGAACACCTCCCGTCACTACCCACTTTGCCTTTTGTGCTTTCCCGTTCCCTCTGAGGTCCCCGATTGACTCAAACGGCTCGACTGGAATCAATTTTCTCAACGCAATCCGAACTAGAAGAAGCAGCAGAACAAGGGGGAGAAGAAGAGAACACGCATGGTGCACAACCAAGCAAACCTGGATTTCCCCAAGCTTTTGTTTTTTCTCTTACTCGCATTAGAGCGCGTCTCCCAACAGGACACGGCTCCAATGTGTGTCCACGCGAACAATGAGGGGGTTTGCAGCAAGGAGAGGGTGTTATTGCTGGTGGGAGTGGAGGGGCACCACGGCTACCGGGTATCACACACACGAGGAAGGGTGCAGGCGACGCAAAGCACACACACACAAAGACACACACGCAGACAAAAGCCTCATAAGAGTACAAACTCCAACCTCTTTACTCTTTGTCTGCTTACACACACACACACACATACCATCACACACACACACACACACAGGCTGGTGCATGCTGCCAGTATCATCAGAGTGAGTGGGGATAAATGTGTGTGTGTGTGTGTGTGTGTGAGAGAGGAGATGGAGGGGGTGGGCAGTAGACCAAAGCCATCCATCTAGGGGAGCCAATAGTGAACAGCAAAGGCTGTAGGCTTCACAGCACAGAATGCGCTCTCCTACCACACACTTACACACACACACACACACACACACACGCAGAACCCTCAACAACAAAACTCAAGCTACGCAAACTTCTCATCCATCCTACTTTTGTGCTCCTTGCAAGCTTCTCCACATCTTTCTCACCCCGTCTCCATTTTTATCACCCCCCCCCCCCCCCCCCGCAGACACCTGCTATGGAATGCATCACACTAACCGATTGGCGCCTCTAAAAACGATAGCAATGGCGAGGCAGTCGATGAGCAGTGGCCTAAAGGAGGGCAATGACCATTGATTTTCTCTGCGCTCACATCGGGCTGAGTTATGGCGGGCCGTCGTGCGCGGCAGCTCCGCCGACTGCGAGACAAAGGGAACGGGAGCCGACTTGGAAATGTGGGCCAGTCGATAGTCAGCGCCAGCGAAGTGAAAGCTCTTCCATGCAGGCAGGGAGAGGGAGATGAGACGAGGACGAGAGGAACGCATGGGTGCGGAGAGCGTGGGCTTTGGCGTGTCCATCTGCCCACCAGTGGGCTTTCCAATGCTCCCAGTGGGGTTCCTGAACCGCTCCAGTTTAGTTTCAGTAGCCCTGATCGCGTAACGCCAGAGAAATGAGGCCTAAAACTGCCTGCGGATCGTTTGTTTCTTTGTTTGAGCCAAGCACGTCCAATTGAAAAGTAGGAATATTTTGAAATCATCATTGATTGAACCTGCTTTGCTTGTATTTAACGTTTCTTGGTGAAAAAGTACTTTAATTTAAAAATAACTTATAATTCATGCAGCGCGAAGACAGTTACTGTACCATTATTTACTTATTTACTTACTTATTAATTCCTTAACTGCAATACACCTTAAACATGTATCATATAGCTCAACATTGCACAGCCAAATCTATATCCAAAAGGCCTTGCAAGCTTCTATTTCCGGTTTATTTGGACTCCATGAGTAATTAGGCGTCCTCCAGCATACTAAACACAGGAGGACAATTGTGAATGGACAGAAATAATTGTGCTTACATGGCTTGTAATGTGAGTGCGGTTGTTCCCCAGCAACACCTACCAGGCAGCGTTGCTGTGGGCGCCGTCGTCTAGGTGACAGAGCAGCTCCAGGGTTTGGGGGTTGTGGGCGGAGTCGTCGGGTGACTCATTGCTTCCCGTCTCCCAATCAGAGGGCATCCGCCACACGGCCGCGCAGGACACCACTCTGCTGTCACTGGCTGATGGGAGGGGAGGTAGCGCAGTTATTCACAGTTTGTTAGAGGAAGGTGTGAATATCTGTATCTATATTCTGAGTGCGTGAGTGTGTGTGTGTGTGTGTGGTGGACAGGCGCCAGCGCGGTGACATGGACACACTCCCCCCCCCCCCCAAAAGTCACATAACAAATGAGTTATTTTGGCACATCTACAACGGAGCCAGAGCTGCTAATTGGAACTAGTGGGGTAAATGTAGAATTGATACAGTAATTGGACTAAAGGTTTGATGCTTGGGGGCAAAACCAATCAGAGAGAGAGAGAGAAAGAGGGCGAGAGAGAGGGCACCAGGAGAGAGCACAGTCTAATTCCTTTGCGGTGTAGATATTGACAGTGTGTGGGCAGGCGTTTGGACTATTTGTCAAATTAAAAAGCAAAGCGGTGCGAGTCCACGGGATCTTGATTGGTTTCAGACGGCCGCGCACTCGGAGTAAGTGGGCAAGCAATCATCTCCCAACAAAAGCCTGAGCGCGCTCGCACACTGGAGCGCCGGTGGGAGGCAGCATGCAGTGAGAACAACGCCCGTGTGTTTGTGTGTCTGTATGCTTTCGTGTGCGACTGGTGGTGTGCGCAGCAGTGCATGGTGGGGCCTTCTAAGCTTCAGCCGGGCCCAGAGTAGCTGTCATCCGGTGAACTCGAGCATGTAGAGCTCAGCTGACAGCGAAGGGGGGCGGGGGGGGTCCACCGGTGCACTCAGCTCCTATATGTGGAGCCATCTAATTGGAATTGACACTTGGTGTTTGAAAATAGAACTTTAGGCCCTAATTGACCCTTTTCTAAGCCGCTGAAGATACCTCCAGGTTGACAAACGGTGAACCACTTCACCAGAACATTGAAATGAAGGAGCACCGTAGCCGTGGAGCTGGCTCAGGGTATTTTCACCGCTACCGTCATTATGAAGGCGCACGTGGACACATCGTGTGTACCCTCAAAGCAAGCAGCTAACCGTGTGCTAACGTACTCTGCTAATGTTAGCGCACATTTGACCCCGCCAGGCTAACGTCAAAAGTATTCACATTCATTACTCAAGTAGAAGTACAGATACTAGGGTTTAAAAAGACTCCTGTAGAAGTATCGACTCAAGCTTTTTACTTAAGTATAAAAGTACTGGTTTCAAAACTACTCAAAGTATAAAAGTAAAAGTAATGTAAGAAATTCCATTAAGGAGAAACTCTTAATGCGTAACCTCGCTCACACAACACATCAGTCCGTTACAATGTGATCAGAAGGTGCCTGCAGATCACGTGACCTGCCGTTGGGATGGTGGAAACAACAACAACAACAACAACAACAAATGTATCTGACTTAAACAGATAAAACCACAACCCATTTTCCAGTGACACGAGTCACACACACGTTGTTCGCATTGATTAGGTAGACTGCAGTGTCTCCCCCAGGTTTACTACATCACCCCAAGTAGCTACGCCCCCTCTGTTTATAATGATGGAAACACTGAACTGGCAGCGGTTGGTTATCAAAACATTGGCCAAATAACCAGTATTTTCAGGCTTCATGAGCAAATACAGAATCCCTTTGTGTTCATTTGTGTTCAGCCGCATTAAGACACACATCACTTTATTTAATACGCTGCTTGCAAGTCGCTGTGTTGTGCCAGACTCTCAATAAAACATTTAGGACAAACCCACGGTCATGAAGATACTCATCTAACGTTACGTGGAATCTGCGTGAGGAAGAGGAGGAGGCTCCATGTCGATAAATACCAACTTTCCACCGACCGCTTTTCCCACCCGGTGTCGCTCCGATCTGCCGGCGCATCGCGGAGAAAACCAATCGTGTGTCTGGATGCTAAATGTTTATATTCTCATCCAAACACAATCACATCCACTCTGTCCGCATAGCGACATTTATCTAGATGGGTTTTTGTCTTTGTGTTTTTGAACTGCGACAAGCCGGAAACGACTAACGAGGCTGTTTCTAAAATGTAAGGAGTAGAAAGTACAGATATTTGCGTGAAAATATAAAGAGTAGAAGTAAAAAGTCGTCTGAAAAATAAATACTCCAGTAAAGTATAGACCCAAAATGTTTACTTGACACCTCTGCCTCTCAACCAGTGTGAACACGAGGAACGGTCCATGGATCGAAGCCGGAACACAACATGACCTTCAATGAGGCCGTTGGGGCTTGAAGATGGTTCTTCTTGTTCTATTAATTTAGTCACTACTGAAGTAAAAGAAATGCCAACATGCCTGTCATGGATCCAACGTGGTGGGGACACGTCTCAACCGAAACAAGGCGGTTTTACTGCTGCACGCTGGAACACGTGTATGTGTGTACGACTAGTAAAAGAAGCACTGACGTCCTCGTGAAGTTGGGCAAGTAAAAGAACACGTTCCATTAACGCACAGACGATGTGCCTGACAATGAGTTTGACGACAATGTCCTCGCCCCTGTTGTCAGTCATCACGTCCACACATAAGTATTGACTATTGATCGTACAGATCGCACGGTATGTTGCTCAACTGAACTGCGCGAGGTCATAACAGGGAGACAAACAGAAAAAGGAAAAAACAAAGGGAGCGAGAGATGACGCACATCTGAGAGGAAGCGAACGCAGCCGAGACAGAAGGAAACAGCGGGACTCACTTTTGTTGTAGCAGGTGGTGAGCACAGCCTTATCTGCAGGACTGGCGCCAATGTGCCATATCTCCCCCGCTCGGTGCAGGAGGACGTTCTTATTAATGATGTTATTCTCGTCGTCAAAGTCAATGATGTGGATCTGGAAGAAAAGAGATGTGTTGAGGATGGAGCTACGGTTAAAACATTGCATGCACCTCCACATCAGACGCAGTTCAAAGCACCGCTTGCTCCTCTGATTCTTCACCTCAAAAAAAGGAAAAAAGGGTTCCCCTTTTAATATGACAGTAGAGGTAATTTCAAGGCAGGCACTTCTTTGGTTCTCTTTCTACCCCCCGGTTAACTCCAAACGGTTGAAGACTTTTCATCTTGATTTGCCCTTTTTAAGCGCTTATTAAAACAATTTTAGAAGCTGTCATGGGAGTTACACACATGACACGCTGAGGAAAAAGGTACAACACTTTTGGGGTTTGGGGAAAGTGTTTTGGTGGCGTGTGTCATTCAAATATTTCTTGTAAAGAAACCAGATGGCAGCAGGTGATGATGTAGCTTTCGCTGAGAGTACTTGAACGTCTCTCCATGGCGAGTTCGGATCTACGGACAAGTACGAAGGCCATGAGGAGGACAGATACAATACAGAAAGAAATGTCTTTGTTCACCTCAATAGTTATTCACTCGATTCAACTCTCAAGCGTTGTTAAATCCTCAAATGGTGTCATGAAACAAAGGCTTCTCCCCGAGGGACTACGAGACGGTGCTAAATGTCTGACCGTACATAGAACTGTGCGTGTTCTCCGGGTACATCCTGACTAGCCTTTCTTGGTGTAACTACCAGGCTAATGATACTACAGTATGCCTACATTTCAAAATCAAAAAATGCATTTACATTGAATGAAATTCATGAACAATGGAGATGCGTTTTAACGGATAGTATTTGAATGTAGGGCTGCACGGTGTGGCTAAAAATCCACATCACAGTATTGCTTTTTTAAGTTAGCGCGTTGTTTCTAATCTAAAAACCAAAAACCCTCCAAACAGACACGGCTCCTCTCACAAGTTGTGTTGGTGCATCTCTGGTCTCTCCTTGTTCCTCCTGTTTCGCTCTTTTCCGTGTTTTCATGTAGCAGCAGAGTTACTTCTTGTTGTGAGCTGTACAGCATGCAGTTCCTTAAATGTACGATTATTAGTGTTACAACAGCTGGTGACATAAACGATTAGTGTCGTGGTGTTTTACCCTGTTAAAGAGTGTTTGTTGTGGCTTATTCATTGTTGTTATAAAGTTATCACCATGACTCAATCTCTACACACGTAAGACAAGTAGCTCCGGCCGCTGGACGCTCCGACGTGACGGACGCGTAGAAATAAATTCTGCCGCCTGCAGTTGTTATGATGTAACACCGGTATGAACGGTGCGAGTGCGCAGCCCTCGTTCACAGGCTGATTGAGAGCTTAAAAGCTTCTCTTTACTGATACTCTTCGCCACAGTCTACAGGGTACGTTGGTTTTATAGAACGTTGGTTAAAATAAGCATAGTCCAACATCCCATTCGTCCTTTCCAAAAACGAAAGGTAGCTGGGTTAAAATAAAATCTGCTGCCTGCAGTTGTTATGGTGTAACACCGGTATGAACGGATATAGATGGTTGGTATAGATGGTAGATTCTCTCTCAAACTCTCGTCAGGGCGGACTGGGCTTTTTTGGAGAAGGGAGCTTAAAGAGAGAGGTGTATATTTAGAAGAAGAAAAAAAAAAACATAACACAAATTTAAGTACGAGTCTGAAAAGGAACATGAACGGTCCCTTGATTGTTTACCGACAGTCACGACCCAGAAGCACTTGCAGGTGTCCCTGCAAGTCTGGGCTGCACTTGAAAAGCTGTCTAGACGTCGCAGTTCAACAAACAAGGCCAAACTTTTATCCATAAGAAGTTAATAGAAACTCCTCCTTATGGAGTTATTTTTATTAGATGGAAATCTATTCCATGAGGGCCCTCAACTGAATGCAGTTCAGGGCCTACAACGCAGTAAAACAGTGAAGGTCCCACGGTTTGATCCGACAATTAATGGCGGTAGCTCCCATAAGAGAGACACTTAGAGCACCTCGGGGGACCGATAATGGGGTTGCACTGGACAATAACTCCTGCCAGGCACTTCCACTCGCCTTTCCTGTACTACTTTTACAGGCTGAAAAAGAGGATGAAAGGGGGGGGCGTGAAGATGAGGAGGAGGAGGAGGAGGAGGAGGAGAGCAAGGCAGCAGCGGCGGCATCCTTCAGCATCCTCAAAGTCAGCTCGGCGCATATTAACCTTGGGTTGGACCGCGTCGAGGCAAAAATGATTACGCAAAGTTGTAATTTTATGGTGGTGGGGGAGCGGCACAAATAAATTCAGACTGGCGGGACAGCGTAATTGGAGGGCCTAGTAATAGGGTCCCCCCGAATGAACCCAGGTGTGAGAAGAGAGAAGAGAGAGTTCTGCCCCCCCAGAGTGATTTATCCCTCATCCCTGCAGGCCCGCGGAGTGACTCAGAGCCTTCAGCCACTTGGGCACTCAGCCCGGCGCTTTTAATTATGTGCCGATGGTGGGAGGACTCTACGCAGGGAAGGGGAGAGGAGGAGGCGGGAGATTGGGAAAGAGGGATAAAGCCGAGCTGGCTCGTGGACCCCCACTTCAGGGGCCTCTCCGCTAAAGCTCTTTAGCGCGCCGCAGATGACAGTAAGCGGAGGGCGGAGGAGCAGCGAGCGGGTGAGAGGTGCCAAGCTCCGGCGCTTTATCTCGTTAGCAGCCTTAAATGCCACGCCGACGTGCCCTCCTATTTGTCATTCCAGCTATTGGTCTCTGAGGGATTTGAGAGGTGCTCCGCGGGTTGAGAGACATTTCCACCCGTATTGCGCTTAATGGGAGGTGGAGGGGCCAGCAGGCTTATGGATACAGCAGAAGTCACCGGGGCTGAAATGCCAATCGAAAGAACATTTCTCACACTGCGAGTTCCAACTTGGACGAACTGAGCTAACCAATTGTTGGCCAGCCAACTTCTGCATGAGTGAAAAAAGACAACGAGCTTCATGAATAAAATCGACTGCACCGACTGAACCTGCGATTCAAACGTGGGGTCATCCGAAAAACTTAACCTTAAAAGATGAAAATGATCCCTGCTCGTTGACACGATACCATCAGGAAACAAAGTTACAATGTTACAAGCTCTAAAATGCTTAATACATCAATACAAAAAAGTAAAAAACATAACATATATGTGTACACATATATATTACATACATATTACATTCTGTTTTTTTTATTGTTCTTTTTAAAAGCACATAACATATCATAAAATAAGATCAGCAATAACAGGCTTTTACTCCCTTTGTATTAGCAGCTGACTTGCATAGTTGCTTACTGGGTTTGTTCATCATTGAGTGCAATGAATGTTCGGTGAACAATGTAAAAAGAAGAAAATCTCAAGCAACTTCCATGCAAACGTTTTATGAATGCTGCAAAACTCAACCAAATAAAGCCTCCTTAAAGAGAAAAGAAACAGATGAAAATGGTGGTTTGAATTAGTTTAACGGTGTATTTTACCGAGTTAAACAGAGTTTAACCACGTCGTCTCACGCTAGTAGTTACAAGGTGAGATGTTCTTCAAAGTAGGTTGCACAATGAATTGTCCAACCAGGTAGGAAGGCAAAGAGTTGATATCTGATCCAACAGCTGTGCTCAGGCGGCGTTCTCCAGTTCTACCAAGTGAAGCTAATGCAGAGGTCTTTTTCAACGTGCATTCTCTCTACTGACCAGCAGGGGGCGACTGGTCTGGTTGCGAAAGAAGGTCTGACTCAGAGTAGACTTGAATCGTCCATAAAACAGTCCGCTTTAGGGTGTGCCTATTTTGATTGACAGGTAGGTAGAAAGTTTCAGATCTTAAAAAGTCAGTTGAGGACACTTTACTGGATATTGCGGCTGCGTTTGGAATGCTAGGAGGAGAAGGTTTGGCTCCTCGCGGAGAGGAGTAAGAAATCACACAGATCGACTGGGATGCTCTGTCAGCGTTCCCAACGAGCGCCGCGTTAGACTCGCCACACTTGGACTGAACGGAGTCTGTATTCGGTGCCAGACCGTTTTCACACCGAGGTCTGCCAGAAAAAAGGCAGGCAGAAATATGTGTGTGTCTCTTTCACACACACCCGCACACACACACACTTTCCCTCTCGTAGAGCTAATTATTTCTGCCCCGTTTAGAGCCAACTGTTTCTGTCATCTGTCTCTATAATGACCTCTGCAAGATGTGCACACACACACACACACACACACACACACACACACACCACGCTTTCCTATGAGACACACGTGCCTTCCCTACAGTTCACTTAAAAAATACATTTAAAAAAATACATTTTTAAATAAATTAATTGATTGATTGATCAGATTCCTTCAGTATTTCAATATCTGGTTTTCATAGTGTTCAAGCACAATCTGCACAATAATGGAGGTTTATCCGCTGTGTTCAGACTGGTTTCTACTTGCACACGTCACTCCTCTTTGGCTTGTGCACTATTTGAGCCGTGGGAAACTTTGACGGGCAGTTTAAACTATATGCTGACATTTTGTGAGAAGTCATTCATTCATTTAAAGTAACTATTACTGTGATTATTGATCATTCGGTCATTTCCTTTTTTTAAATTGATTGTTTGGTCTGTAGTTTGTGAAAAGGAAAGAAAATGCCTCAACAAATCCCAAGGATTATTTTTAATTACCAAAAATAATAGAAGGGAGATTGAAAATATTCCGGGATCTTTTCTTCGTAATATTGATTATTTAAGTTCCTGGAAATAATTTATACAATAATTGCTTTTAATCAAACCTGATTGATCAGTAATGTAATGGTCAGATGACTGGCACATAATAAAATGAATATAAAAAGAAGATAAAAAACTGTCCATTTGTAAATGCTGCACCACGGAGGAACCTCCTGACTGAGATCAGGGCTTCGATCTTCGGTGGAGGTTCTTGGGTTTCAGGGCAAACATTTCATTCTTAACTTCCCTGAACTTCCTCTGCCGCACTTTTTAAAAGAAAATCAAAAAATCTGCTGCTCCAACTTCTTGTTATCCTGTTGGCCTGCGTTATCATCTCATGTAAAAACTGAATCCTGTTGGACTGCGGGTGGAATTGTGAATCTGAAATGTGATGTATGAGGACATGTGCTCATGCTTTTAACATTTAAGACCCGACCTTGAGAACATTTTAGATTTATTTCATGAATTTATTTATTTATTATATTCTGTTTCCGTAGCTACAGCTCCTTTCACTCTATGTTACACGTTGTACAACTGTGGAAATAATATATTTAATAAATTGACAAATGATTAAACACAAAGCGTTACATTTTAAACACATCAAAGGCTTTTCAACGTAAATGTCTAAGATCTTTTGGGCTACAAAAGCCTGCTGGTAACTGAAAGCTTACTCCACCCTTTTTTGACATTATCTAAATATTTAATACCTCCTGTCTTGCTCCTAACCAAATAACTTGACTCTCGGCTGCATATAAAAATCATTTGTACAGTATCTTGAAATTAACTCAAATCAAATCAACTGATTCAAATTGATTCAAGTGTATTCGGGGCACTTTTGTGAGTGCAAAGTACGGTGCAAGAGACAACGGCTGGTATTCAGTCTCTTCATTAATTGATCATAATTGTGTTTTAGAAGAAAACGGCCCGGTTGGTCTGTGGCCGATGCGTTGCTACTTAAGCAAGTGTCTTTTTGCTGTGGTAATGACGTTTTTGAAAGGTCAATACATATGGATTGAAGCAGAATATCTTTACAGATAAATGCTATATTGTGAAGTTTGGAAATGATCACTTCTCCTTTTTCTATAATTTTTGACTTTGAGACTTTACAACTATGCAGTGTTATTACATTACATTACATAACAGGTCATTTAGCAGACGCTTTTATCCAAAGCGACTTACATTACACTTTAAACCCATGGCTTTTTCACATTTTTGCCCGGGGACCAATTAGGGGTTAGGTGTCTTGCTCAGGGACACTTCGACATGGAACATGGAGGAAACTTGAATCAAACCACCAAGCTTGTGCTTCCCAGCACACCTTCTCTAACCCCTGCGCCACGACGACCCCTTCCCATTATTGGAAATGTTTGAATCACATGAGTCAGATACAAGCCTACACTGGAAACTTCATCTACAAATAGTGAAACATACTAATGTATTAATGTTGCCTGATCTTTAAAATTATCTCACTGATGATCTTTATCTGCAACTAAAGAAATACCAGCTTTAACCATAGTGATTAAAGATGGGGGGGGGGAAAAGTTAATTTAGAATTCAAATGACAACGTTATGAATGAAGCTTCGAAGCATCCAACTCTTTTTCTGATGCACAGAAACAACAAATAGATTAATAACACAGGCAGATGGCACTCAGCACAGGGTTCTGCATGTATAGACACCGCCACACACTGTTTTATGCGTCATGAGAGAGGATTGAGAGGGTCTATACTTTATTTTGCATCATTTCTTTATTATATGGTGTTTTTCGATTGTTATAGAAACTGATACAGCATCATGTATCTCCTTAGAAGAAAGCGCCATGCAGTGGACAGCAGGGTTCTTGCCCAACGTTTTGTTCATTCAATCAATTGTTGTTTTAACTGTATGATTGTTATGTTATCTGCCATGAACGCTTTTTCTTACCTGGTTATCAAATTTCAGTGACTGTGTTCCCACAAGGAAGCGAATGGCATCGGTCTCAGCTGTCTGGGCGGTGAGTGCTCGTGCCTGCACAGAAGATGCAAACATAACGTGGATGTCAATTCACAAAAACACGAATGGCAGAGCAGCAAAGCTAAGAATAGCAAGGAAAGACGAATAGAGCTAGCTTCACCTGAGGAACCTAACGTTAAATAGTAAGGAATGGTAGGATACTAATCATACCTGAAATTCGAGACCGTAAATAACAGGAGCGTCGTCCTCCATCTTCCAGTCTACAGCTTTCAATACTTGCGCTGTCTTTTAAATGTCGTCTCGAGAAAACACAACCGAAATATTATAACAGCACTGCGTATGCTCAAAAACCAACACAACACTGTCACTAGCTGCACTTCCGCGATTTACGACCTAAAAAAAGTAGCGTGACTAAAATGGGACTAAAATACGTAGGAAAGGTGTTGGAACGGTGCTGGAGCGTATAAAATTACGTAAATGGATTCAAGAATACAAAATCAACGTTGGCAGTTGTGTCTCCTCTGGCTTGCCGTACATGCAAAGGTCCTTCGAAGCTGCGCATGCGTACTAGAGTCATATCTGTCAGTGCAGGAAGGTAAGAAACATTATCTTGTGTGTGTTTAAGTTTGTAATGTGTTGTTTGTCTTCGCGTGGTGATATTTATAAAACGGTGCCATGGTTCCTTCTTTATATTGAAGAAAGCTTTTATTAATGTATTTATTTTGCATTTTCACAAAGCTGCACAGCTAAATTAACGCGTAATAGCCAAACCGCTAATGTAGCATTAACGTTAGCAAGCCAGTAGCAAACAGAAATCAACCCGATGCCTCGGGTCACTGCCTTCGTGACGGCGCCGTAAACCTGATGTAACGTTCAATCCTGGCGATAAGAGCTCTAAAAAGACGATAAGTGATAATAAGACGAAGTGACGAAGAAAAACGTTGGATGGTGTTGAATTATAAAACACAAAATATTTCTCAGCCACTGTCAATATCAAATCAGAGTGTGTGTGTGTGTTGAATTGTCAGGAGCAGTAAGATGGACGGTGGGATCGCGCCTGCTCCGCGGCCAGTCACGTTGGACATCACAGTGGAAGATGTGACTGAAGAAGCCCCGCAGCCCACCAGCCAGACCCCCTGCAGAGAACTTCTTCCCCAGGTAGACAGCATCGACCTGGACGGGGGGTTTGTTACCCCTCAGGAGGACAGCAGTGCTACACCTTCAGACAGCCTGATGGACAAGCTCAACGACCAGATGATGGAGAGCGTCATGATTTCTGACTCGCCTAATAACAGCGAGGAGGATGAGGTGGCTCCCATGGACTCCCTTCTGGATGGAGCAGAGAAGGAAGAGGACGCTTCGGGCGACGAAAACGGGCAAAGTGAAATCGGTCAAAATACAACTGAGATCAAGTTTTCGCTGGAGGAAGAGGAGCCGGGTGGTTTCACGGAGAAAGTCGACGAGGACACACAAGGGCAGGCGGACACACGAGTGCAGATCACGGCGTGTGTTTCGCCCGGAGGTGACGGGCAGAGCCCGTCGGATGTGAACAGTGTGGAAGCAGCAGCTCAAGAAGCTAAAGGGACCAACCCGAAAGATGAGGCCGTGCCGGTGTGCACCATATTCAGCCAGGCCAACCAGCCAAAGTCTCTTGTGCCCGATGGCTTCCAGCCCACCCTCATCAAGTCCCCGAGCTTCAGCATGGGGAGTGCCGGAGGAGGCAGTGGGGCAGTTACCCCCAGCAGGCTGACGGCCCCCCTCGTGTGTCAGCCCAGCCCCAGCCTCAGCAAGTTCTTCAATGACAATGGACAGGTCAACCCCGCGTCCGACTTCTTCGATTCCTTTACCGTCCCCTCCTCATTCATCTCCATTTCAAACCCAAATGCGGAGATCCCTCCCGGCCCGAGCCCAGCGACCATAGCCCACACGCCTGAGCACCAGCTCTCCTCGACCTCCTCCACCATCTCAACCCCCGGAGGCCCTCCGGACTCTGGTGCTCCTACGCCCAGTTCGGTGTTTGCCCCTACGGAATCCCCCGCCAAGGTCCAACTTCCTCCCCCCCAAGCAGCCCCAACTCCAAGTCAGGCCGCCACTCACCCGCAGCCCTTCAACCAGCTCCGCGCCGCGTTCTCGGGCAGCGATGACCCCTTTGCGACGGCGCTGAGCCTGAGCGAGGTGGACCGGCGCCATGATGCCTGGTTGCCCTCTGAGGAGACCAGGAAGGTGTTGATCTCCGTGGCCACCCAGCAGTACAGCCCGGCCTACGTAGAGAGCAACAGACCCACCATGCCTGGACTCAAGTTTGACAACCTGCAGGTAGGACAACCACCTGGGCAGTAAAATGCTCATCAGAAAACATGTACGTCTTCGGCTCGCAGCCATTTCTGCTCTCACCGCGTGTCGTTGTAAATCGTGATATTTGTTGGAGATGGATGCTTTTTTATGATAGAGCGTTATAGTACTAATCAGCCTGTGATAATAGTTGTTTCAGTCCCGAGACCACACGTTCTTAACTAAAAGCCCGCGTTGCAAACAAGGTTTTTGGAAGTCGTGGACCATCACGTCATCGGGCGTCAAGTAGACCGTCACCGTTACTGCTGATGGAATGCTGGCATGTGTGGGAGGGACGGCCATAAAAATATCAGCATCTAACTAAATTAATACAAATAATATAACAAAAGATGCTATTGAGTTGCATCATGGGTAACGAATGAAGCCTCCAGTGTTTGTGTAGCTGGACCCGTACCAGGCGAGTCAGGATGCCTCTGCTGCTTTGTGTTTAAATTCACTTTGCAAGGCTCCCAACTTTGTGGAACAGCAGAGGTGAATGATTCTACGGCAGGAGAACACGCACATCATTTTCAGAGGTGTGTTAAATAAATAAATGTGTCCTGCATTCATCCATTGTGACATCTGAACCCTATATCAGATTAATAACTTATTTTTAGTAGCGGTCAGGCATCGTTTGCGCTTTAAATTGATGTAATTGGTACAAAAGGATATAAGCAGCAACCTGAGAATAAATTAAGCAACCGCACCAGAGGTCAAAACGAACAGTTAAGACTGAAATATAACTACCTTCATACTGACGTTGAAGGCAATTCAGTTTTAAAGATTGCAGTAATGCATCAGAACAAACACCTCAAACCTTATATGGCCGACATGTAATGTAAGTACTGATGTGATGTATTTTATTCCTGCAGGTGTAAATACCAGGACTCTCCATGTAGGGCTGTTGCACGATGTTGACTGCACGCATGATTCTTTCTGCAGGGCGACGCCGTAAAGGACTTGATGCTGCGTTTCCTGGGTGAACCGGCAGCGATGAAGCGACAGGTCCTCACCGCCAACTCCGTGGAGCAGTCCTGCACAGGCCTCCAACGTCTCATCGTAAGCCTCTCACTGTGCTCTAGGAGTCCTCCACGTTGACTGCTGGGGTCCGGGGCGTCTTTTACTGTGTGCCAGCGCCTTTGTTCTTCTGGGGCCGTCATCATTGCGCTTTGCTGCTAGTTCATGATTTGTATGCAGTTGAGATTTAACCCCGGAACCGTCGGCCGTTAGGGTCCACTTCTGTGTCTGCGTCAGAGTTTTTGCGGTTGTCATGTTCAGTTTTTTCCACTATAGCTAAACATGTAACGTGTAACATGGTTGAAAACTCCAGAACAAGTGTATCAACCTCGACCTCGAGCCTTGATTTGTCAACAACTTCTTAGCATGGTTACGGCAAATCACAAACCAATGAGAGTGGGACAAAGAGCAGTTATACACAACCACAGTGACATATTCCCCAGAAAGGATACATAGGTAGTAGCACACGCTTTTAGAGTGGGGCCTAAAACATGGGTGATGGAATTTATTGATCGAGGAGCGCGTCAGGGTTCAACATTTCTACAAACTAGATATCGTTTCAAATTCCTTCCAAACTCCAAACCTTGTACTCGCTACGTCGCTGTCTGATCTGCAGCAGAATGAAGAGACGCTGCGTTGTTGTTTGCTGTTACTTTTGACTTGATTATCACAGAGCTACTGTGAGACTAGTAGAGGCACTTTGACTGCATGCAAACTTGTTTATTGTCAGTGTTCTGACACTAAAGTGTCACGCTAGTGGGCCTGATGACGGGCAACTGTTCCGATGACGCAAATGCGGGGGGAAGTACAGGTAAACACAATGCTGAGCATTGTTTTACAGTAGTCACGGCTTTTAGAAAACGTTTATTCTCTTTCTGAAGGTAAATGACGAGTCCAGCGTTAGTTTACCACATTTTGACATCCTGTGGATGCAGCAGCAGGTGTGACCGCTGCCACTGCCCGGTGGTCCGGCCTCAGCCCCCCCGACAACAGTGAATCATTCGCCTGCTTTCCTCCTCGGTGCCTTCCTGTGCTATTCTTCTGTCGAGCACAAAGATGGCCGCCTTCCTCAGTGACTGTGCAGTCCCGCCCCATTCCCTCCTTAGCTGCCAATCATCTATCTGTACATCTCCAGCCGTCACTCGCTCCCTCAATCGTAACTTCTGACCCACAAATAACCCTTGGAGGCAGTGATGGAGTCACACTGATGGAGGGAGGAGAGGTGGGAATGCACAAGTTCTCCTCTCCTGCTGTGCCCATGTATTATGCATGGGACTGCTGTGAATATTTCAAGGGCCTTCTGGACACGGCGTACACACACACACACACACACACACAAGCTGGTACTTTGAGCTTTCAGTCGACTCCACTATATGGTGCAGGTGAGGGTGTCAGTGGATCACAGGCTGTCGACTGGTTGGTGTGGGTGGTTCCCTGCAGCAAGAGGCTGCGAGAGAGGAGAGAGACGGTGAGCCCGAGAGGTACAGCAGGGCTGGACGAGGGGTGTCAAGGTGCGTGAGCGATGAGGAGGCCTCAGCTGTGTGCTCTTGTTGCCATTTGAAACGTACTTTGTGTTTTCCTGATACAAACCGACTTGTTCCTCAACCGACAGTACTAATGTTAACTGATCGATTCTCACAGCGATGAAAGGAATATTCAAAATAAAAAGAATTGGAGCATTAACTCGGTGTTTAAACGAGAACAGCTGGTCCCGCCCGTATAGGTCAGCCTGCCAACTGTGCTCAGCTTACAGCGAGTCGTCCTTCAATCCGAAGATCGGGTACTTGTACACTAATACGCGGCCACGTGTCCTTGGCCAAGACCTAACCCCAAATTTCTAAACCAGCGTGGCTGTTCCCGCTGCGACCGCACACCCGTCACCAGTCAGCAAGCAGCGAGACCCGTAACTTAAGTTGGCTCAAAACCAACGTTCTATAAAACCAACGTACCCTGTAGACTGTGGCGAAGAGTATCAGTAAAGAGAAGCTTTTAAGCTCTCAATCAGCCTGTGAACGAGGGCTGCGCACTCGCACCGTTCATACCGGTGTTACACCATAACAACTGCAGGCGGCAGATTTATTTCTACACGTCATCGCGGAGCGTCCAGCGGCCGGATAACAACAATGAATAACCCACAACAAACACTCTTTAACAGGGTAAAACACCACGACACAACAGCTTGTGACACAAACAATTATTATTAGCTAATAATCGTACATTTAACGAACTGCATGCTGCACAGCTCACAACAAGAAGTAACTCTGCTGCTACATGAAAACACGGAAAAGAGCGAAACAGGAGGAACAAGGAGAGACCAGAGATGCACCAACACAACTTGTGAGAGGAGCCGTGTCTGTTTGGAGGGTTTTTGTTTTTTAGATTAGAAAACGATTTATTGCAAAGTCTGTCGAGCCAGCAGCCACAACATGCTAACACGCTAACGAGCTAACAAGCTCTGTTATTTAGCAACTGCTGAGTGTTAATATTGAATCTTGAGGGCAAATTACATTTTGACATTTTAGAGATAGAGACTAGATAAGAGCAGAAACTATGGTGACCTCTGTGCAGGTCACCTCATCCGTCTCTCATCATCAGCAGTCATCCCTCTTCTCTCCTCCTCTCCCCCCATCGTATCTACCTGCTTTACTCCTTCCTGTCTCCCCCTGCCACACTATGTACCAGAGACTCTGATATCTCCTACGGGAGAGAGAAAGCGAGCCCCATAATCACCAGCTGCTGCAGGGCACTGTGATATCATTGCTGTAACCTTTGCGTGTCATTATGGTGACCTTTTACATGGCTGTCATTCCCCCCAGCCGGGGTACTGCAGCGTCAGCTCAGGTAGCCCTGAAGGGCATGTTTAGCGCCGTAGAGCCAGCTGTTTCCCCAGCAGCCACACACTCAGCCGGACCTACAGTAAAAGAGCCGACGTCTCCGTATACTCCACGACCTGGTGTCGCCGTTCCTATCGATGATTTATACCTGCAAAGTCGCCGAGGGATCCACCTGCACGCGACTGTTGTAGTTTGAGCGGCGCACACCAAAATCTATATTATTATAATTCTCTATTTGATATAGGCCACATTATTGGCATGTTCCATGTAGAGGTGTGTTTGGGTTTTTGAATATGCACAAATATCAAATGACTTAATCAGAGTCTGCATTGCCGCAGGCGGATGTAAGGAGATTTTCTGCACGTATGTGGCCAGTATTTGGATAGATTTTCCAAGGTCAGAATAACCCAGGCGGATGGGAACAGTGTCCAGTTTGTCGCCATGACGAGTCAACTCCAGCCCATTGGGGGAAAACGCACCCTAAGCGCAATGCTCTTTGGAAGCTGTCTGACGTGGCGTTCTCTTTAAGGCGGTGCTTCAGCAGCACCCTGAGGGAAAGGTAAGCGGGACGTTCTGTCTGTGTTGACAACCCCACCGCCAAGTTCTCCAGTAGCACAGCAGTCAATCGGGGGTCAATGCCAACCCAGAGGAGGCTCCACATAGAACTGTGGAGCTGCGCTGAGCCGTCTCAGGGAGTGCCATGCGGAGTTCTCTCCCAAGCCACGAGCGAGTGCGCTGTGTTCTCGTCATGAGTTCTGCCAGTCTTTGTCCCGACGTCTCTCAGCGATACTGTTTAAAGAATCCACTGATCGCCTGCGGGAGACAAAGCGGCTTCTGAATGGCTCTGTGAATGGCGACGCAGTAGCCCACGCCGGCCTCCTTCCTGCTCCGACGATGCCCCCTGGTCCCCCAGTCCCCTGGTTCAAGTGTCTGTGGACCAAGTACAGAGGCATCAAAGGGAAGTTAGCCACCGCTGCAATGACTTCCTGCATATTGCAAATCACACACACACTCACACACACTCACTCACACCCTCTGTGTAATCCTAAAGGCCCGGGCTGGATTGAAGTAGCTCTGAGCGTGTGAGGAATGCTCTGATTGGCCCGGAGGCTCCGGGTCTTGTGAGAGATTGAGTGGGCGTTCGCTGAGCTTTGTTGTGGCGCTCCATTTTAAACCTCGCGACAACACTATATGCAGTGTGTGTGTGCGACCAAGAGATAGAGGACGCGTGCACATTTCAAATGATGAAGTTGTTTCCTATAACGCTGCTCCTTTTAAATCTAAGATTTCTCTGGGTATGTCAAAAATAAATCGAAATCTTTGTTTGAGCAAAGGCTACATGCTGCAAGCATGTTACGTGTGTTGTCTTTCCCCTTGCGGCGCGCAAATGACGACACTCTTTCAACCAATCAACGCTCTGCAGTGAGTCTAGCTCCGCCCTTTAGTACTAAACAACTGTGCCAAGTGCCCCAACGCAAGGGTACCCAAAAAGTGGTACGGTACGGTTCGGATTTTTGGTACCATTCTCAACTTTTGGCAGTAGAGACACAAATAAAAGGGTACCGACCCGACCTGTAAGTGAAGGCGAGGGATCCATGGAGAGCTTGTGGCATTCCATTGTGAACACATTGGTTGTATTGATAAGAGCTAGAACATCACACCCATAGAAGGTCACGTATGGATACGGCGGTGTATTACATAACGTCATCAATATGCTGGTTATTACATTTTTATTAACATTTTATTATTAAGTCCTCTCCCATAGAATGAGAAGCGGCTGGTCTGCTAGCGTCCTTAACACCTAAACAACGTTGCATCTGTACTGTATTCGTTGCAGAGATCGTCTCCTGTGGGTTTTTAGCACAATGACACACCCCCCCCCCCTACCAGTAGTCTGGTTATATAGGACCTCATTAAGAAGTGATCTTGTGAGATGTAGTACTTCAAACAAAGGACGTCTTATTCAAGACAACACAAGAGTGTTGTTGTGAAAAGGAATGCGGTGCAACAATTGTGTTATCCCCCGTTGTCTTGTATTCATAGTAGTTGGAGGCCAAAAGCCTCCCAACTGAAAATAAAAGCCACCCTCATTTCTAGGGGACTATCTGATGTGAGTGACAGCTGGCCGACACCAGGAGCTGTGGCTCATCTGGAGTCTCCCGCGGACTTTGTTCCGCGTGGAGCATGCGCAGGGCGGCGTGGTGGTGTGGTGGTGTGGTGGTGTGGTGTGGTGTGGTGGTGGTGTGGTTTGGTGGCGTGGTGGTGTGGTGGGGTGGTGGTGGCATGTGGTGTGGTTTGGTGGCGTGTGGTGGTGTGGTGGTGTGGTGGTAATCCTCTCCGAGCCTCTGCAGTCCGCTCCTCATTTAATATCACCTGCAATAGATCATTTGATTTGAAGGGATCTGATTATGCTTTATTGCGAGTAATTTGAGCTGGGCTAAATTATTAATCACCAGCAGCCGATTGTTTTTCTATTTTTATGTCCTCCCAACGCCCTCTCTGTTAATTGAAGACGTTCACACCCGTGGAGTGACGCCGTGGTTTGTGTGCATAATGGCGCTCGGGACGACCTCTCATAGAGAACTTGATCTGTTCTGATAGGGGAAATAAGTTCACCTGAACTCTACTAGCCGAGGGACGCTAACGTCGGCCACCTGGGCCAGTGTGGCTCAGTGTGCTTCTTCCCTGATCAGCGGGGCTCGTGTGCTCCACCAGGCCCAAAGTCTGAGAAGACATTATGTCAGAGAAGAATTTGAGCTGGAGTCGTTGAATGCTGACTGCTGGAGAAAGGACCTTCGAATGTTCTACTAGCAGGTTGGAGACGGTGCAGTCTGGTTATTCTTGTTTTCAGGGCTCCGGTTGAACCACTTGTGAAGTCAGTGCAGCAGAGACCTCCGTCATTAACTGGCCCTGTGACCTTCGTGTCTCGGAGGATCGCCTCCCAGAACATCAGTCCTGCCTGATCTCTCCTCCAATCACAGCTGCTGCATTGATGATGCCCGTGGTGTGTGCTTAGGATTGGGTGCAGGCTGGCGTGAGAGCTGCAGCGTTACATAAAGTTTTTGTTTTTGTTTCTTTCCCTCAACATGGCCAACTTTGCCTTCTCTACCTTTTGCTACAAGTGGGCCAGATTTGTCCTGCGGCATCCTGCCTGTCCTCTGTTTAGTGTGTGTGTGTGTGGAGCTACTGTACATCACTGGCAGCTGCTCTCATTGTTCCACACTCCCCGCGTATCCCACTCTCACACAGACACCCAGGAAGCTCGCACACCTGTCTTCTCGTGCCCTTTGGCTCGGCAGCAACGCACTGTAGGACGCGGCGCCTGTGAGTGACTGCAGCTGCTTTTGGCCATCCAGGCTGCCGCCTCGTTTTCAGCTTCATTTCCCCCCCTAATGAAGATTCAGAGGCAGCGCAGATACTGGCACAGGAGAGGCGAGGGATGAGCAGCGAGCAATAAGGGGAGCCAGGCAGGCACGAGCGGCAGAAGGAAGGGGAGGAGGTGGGGGGAAGAAAGCAGGAAGCGTCAAGATGAATGGAGGAGGAAGGATGGGAAAATGATGATGATGATGATGATGAGGAGGAGGGGAGGGAGGCGGCAAGGCAGGAGGAGGGGAAGAAAAGGGGATAAGATGAATGAAGAAGAGGGGAAAGCTACGCCCAACCCGCAGAGAGGAGACGGCTGAGTCGCGTGGCAGAGATGGCTGCAGAGATAGCGTCCCTCTCTCTCCTAATTAGCTCCCCGGCTGTGATGAATGGCACAGCACTTACCACCCAATCGCTGAGCCGACCTTGTCATGTGTGTTGATGGGATGGGGTGACCCTGCCCCCACCTCCACACCCCCCACCTCTGTCCCTGACTTCGCTATTGTACCACCTCCTGTGGAAGCAGATGCTGCTTGTGTGTGTGTGTGTGTGTGTGTGTGTGTGTGTGTGTGTGTGTGTGAGCCTTTTAATGGCTGGCAGCACCACACACGGGTGGAGTGTCAGTAGTGCATCTACAGCCACAGCTTCTGATCGATCTCACATCATCAGTTTGGAGTAAGATGATGGGACATAACTTGTATTTTGTCATTTCATTTTTTGGGGTTCTGATTTAATTCTGATGTTGACTAATTCCCAATTATCTTGATTGAATATGTTTTGTGTTGGTTGACATTGAGAAATTCTCAAAAGGTAAAAGTAGTATAAAGCATATGTACATTGTAATGAATTGTACTTTACGTCACAAACTATTTGCTGGGATCGGGGAATTCTGCGACATCCAAAAGATGACGGGGCTAGAGAGCAAGCTGAAACAGTCAATTGATGTAATTGGGTTCTAAAATACCTGTTCTTTTCATATTATTGCAAAAAAAAATGGGGTTGGACTTCTGGTAGGAAAACCAGGCTTTGGGATCTCCAAGCACTTATCTGGGAGGCAACAGCTCCCAAACTTCCCTTTACGATATCATTGTAGTTTGAATAAGTTCAGGGCTCCGTGGACTCATCAACCGAGTCTGCAGACTGCCGTTTTGCTGCTGGCTGTATTTCCATGTGTGGGTGGTTCAATAGATTACAACAAACAACGCCTTGCTAGCAACGTTGTCCTCTTGAGAGCGTCCGTTTCCTCGCCACAGCTTCTCGTGTGGTTCCATCAGCTCGCCTCTTCTCTCTCGTCCCCCCTGCAGAGCAGTAAGAACTGGCGTGCTGCGGTGGATCTGACAGGCCGGCTGCTGACAGCTCACGGTCAGGGATACGGGAAGGCCGGCCAGCCGAGCGCCCACACCACCGACTCACTGCAGGTATGACGCCAGCCGCGCTCCCTCTGCGTGTCCGTGGGTGCTGCGCAGAGCCGGGACGCGTCTTGTTCTACGGATCAATGTACTAATGCACAAATAGCACTAAATAGATTTTGTACTTAGTTGAAATTAAACCCAATAATGTGCTCGCACTGATGAAATGTCCTAACTGACGTTGTATAGCTATTTAAGGGATTATTTAATAACATTAGTCACAGAGTTAATTTTATGTTTTAATTTGTTTAAAGGAGCTTCACTTCCAGGGGCAGAATACAGTTTATTTGTTCTGAACATACATCAGCACTAACACAGCAATCCCACTCGCAGATGTTTGCAGCTGCTAGTTTTGTGGGCTTTCCTTTGATGTGCAAAGTGTCGGTGGCTGCTGGCCTTGTGGAGCTCTCTCCAGAAGATGGATGGCTGTGTGTGCTCATTAAGACTGCCCCGCCTCTGTATGACACTCCATCGACCACGATGGCGCCTTGTGCCGACCTCCTCGACCTCGCACAGCTTTCTTTAAACACAAGTTTGAACTGTGTGTTGTGTTCTTTTTTTTATTTCTTAATGTAACGTCCATTATGGAAAAATAACGTCAAGTGAAATATGTATACATATGCATGCATGTAAAGAGCGATAAGAGCATGCACCTGAAACCAGAGAGAAATGGGGTTTTGCATACCCGCTGGCTCCCCCGTCCTCTAAAATGTTCATCCATTTGATTCGATGACAAAGTGTTTGGCTCGGTGCATATTCAGTACACATTTGTTTCTTATAATCTAATCGCATGCTTAACGTTTGTTTGGGTGTTAAACTTTGATGTTCCTGTATCGTCAGAAAAGTGATTTAGATTTAGACAATGCTGCAACAACGTAAAACCCATTAATGTGTTGCAGTCGAAGTTGAATGAAATCCAAGACGTGCCATTACATTGTCAAGCATGGTTTTGCCTAATTGGTTTCTTACCAAATGACGTGGAAAATATTTCCGATTGTGTGACTAAATGAGTTTTGAGTCAAAAGACAAATGGCTCACTGCCACCGGGTGGAATCTCACCTTCTACTCGACTCATTTCTGGGATTTCCTTCCCATCTGCAGACAGTTAGTCTTAGCTGATCGCCTTAGCGACGCCGGCATCTTTTAAACCTCTGTCAACTCGATAAGATAAATGCAGTGGCTATAGAGTAGCTCAGCAGTTTCAGACTCGTGGAAAAAGGTCTTAATCTGTCGGCTTCCAGAATGGACTCCGCTCGACCGTGGTGATACCAAAAACAAGTCCGATAAAATGATCTAGTCTTTTCACAGGAGCATCCTAAACAAATAAGAGATGAAATATCACATAGAAACGGTCCGATCAACCCCTTTTAGCAATGGGAAAGCCAAAAGAAGGCCCGGGGGGGGGGACCGGGCGATACAACAACACATAGACCTGGATGTGTTTGTGTGTTTCCCAGCTGTGGTTTGTGCGGCTGGCCCTCCTCACCAAGCTGAACCTCTTCCAAAACGCTGAGCTGGAGTTTGAGCCCTTTGGCGACCTGGACCAACCGGACCTCTACTACGAGTACTACCCCACCGTGTACCCCGGGAGGAGAGGTGGGTGCCCATACACGCGCTCCGCCTGGTGCACACACGCCATCCTCTTCATCTGGAAGCTGTCAAATCCTGCATTGTTTCATATCTGCTCCCGCTGTTGAATAGTGGTATTTGTGATGGCGCTGAAACGCTGCTGTGAAACTCCTGTCTGTGAATGCTTATTAGGCGCTCTGCAAAAAAAAAGAAGGATTTTGCAGCTTATCAACCTTTTTTTAAATTTTTTATTATAAAACACCACTGTCCTATTTAATATTCAAAGGAAACTGTATCTTCGCTGATCTCCAACAACTACTCGTCTCCAGCCGTTCTTTGTTTTTGTTTCTCCTCTCTTCTACACCGCATGAATTGCTCTCTAATGTATTCCCATTACTTGGGATCGTCTTCGCCCCTCGGGCTACCACAGTGAAAGCACTAGCAGACACACACACACACACTCGCACAAAAGAAAGAAAGAAGCAGCACACGTGAAGCTGCACGGCTCAGCCCTCTGAGGGGAGCTCCGATTGACTCTCCGTTGCTCAATTCCAACGCTTTGTGACCCGCTTGGTGCTCGCAGACAAACTGGCACGAGTTGTGTAGCGAGGCATCAGGACATCGAACGTTCCTGCGGCACGACGCTCGCGTCGACCATCTATTACCTGCGATCGCACTCTTTGAGCACCTTAAGTGAGAGCAGCGTTTGTCAGTTATTCATTCATCTGCTTGCCGAGCAGCATTCCCTCGTCCCTGATTCAAGTTTAATCTTCACACTCTACATTTCAGTCTTGTTTTTCAGCAATATAGTGAGAAAGGAGATGCATCGTCGTCTCACCGGTTGGAAGAAATGAACCTGTGGTCCAACGCTTACCGTCCCAGCTGCGTAGAAAAGGTCCACTGGTTCATTGTACCATCAGCACTATGTGCATGCAGTTAGTTAGCAGCTGGTATGGCTCTTTATTGTCATATTTCAAATGTCCCCACTGCAGGACTAACAAAGGACGATCTTATCCTACCTTGTATGAATTAGGATGCAGCCAATATTTTGTGTAGAGGACAACGTTTTCCTCTACAGCGCGGTGCTTATTTTGGGGCACGGTGTGTTTATAATAAAGGCCTAATTCATTTCTTTAATGTTACCTTGGTGATGGATCTGTAGCTCTAGCGCAGACGTAACGTGGGTCTGGATATCAGGGCGTGTTTCTAGTGTGCATCAGTCCGTGTGAGTGGTTCTGACTGCCGACCTGCGGTCCAGTCGGCATGTTCAGAATGGGCACTGCACTGGTTCCATCACAACATAGAGAAAGGTCCAACCTCACTGCATGCGTTGTGCCAGTAGTAAGCATGTACTTAAACCTAACAACAATGATTATTTGAACCATACCATATATACTATTTGCTTTTCTACGTGTTTCTAAGGGTCGAACTGAACCCCGTTTGAGGTGAATGGCACTTTGTTCTGCCTGTCGGTACCTAAACACACATAATGGACGAGGCTGTTTGGTCTCCCGTCAATGCTCTCAATAGACAAACTGGAAGCCTATGTTTTCATGTTTTCTCAATTTAGCTATTTTGTGCTCAGTGGGCCGTCTCACAATCACAGGATCGGTAGCTGCAGGGTGTGAATGCTAGTCACCGGTGGGGTGGTGCAGGTGGCACCCTGTGTGAATGGGTGAGTGATGAAAGGCTGTGTTGAAGCGCTTTGAGAGGTCAGAAGACTAGAAAAGAGAAATAGCAGTTGAGTCCATCTACCATTTTCCATTAACCCAAATATTTCTCCGCAAGCTAAACGTGAGCCATTTGTGAACGTGTTTAAGGTGATGAAACGCAGGAGAGAGGCTCAATGTGCGAGCGCTGTCCAGTCAGCGTGACGGCGAAACCTCGTAACAAAGGGCACCGATGCAGACTGGATCACCGGTGTGTACACAGCACCAGCGGACAGAGGCAGACGTTTCAGACGGAGCAGCTTCAGGCCTGATGACAATATCAAAGAGCCCCAGATCAAAGCCCGGGAGCTCACCTGAATATGAGCTCTTCCTTGGGGGGGCGTGGGCGTGTCAGACGGTGTGAATGAGAGAGACAGAGGGATGAGTGATGGCGCTTTGCACAGAGAGAGAGCCAGATGAGAGGGTTTAATAAGCAGCCATACGTAGCTCAATGCCATGTGTAGGTTCCTGCCTGCAGGGCTGCGTGTGGGTGGACGGGTTTATATTCTCATCTCGCTGTGAGTCTCTCGCCGCCTTCCTCTCTCTTTCTCTCTCCTGCTATGTTCTCCTTCTATCCCCTTTTCCCTCACGCATCATTTGTCCTCCCTCTGCCCCGCCCCTCGTGTTTAGGCTCCGTGGTGCCGTTCTCCATGCGGCTGCTGCATGCCGAGCTCCCCCAGTACATGGCAAAGCCCCAGGAGGCTCTGGACCGCCTGCACAACCTCAAAACCGTCTGCCTAGCTGTTAGTACACACGCACACACACATCCTCTAGATAGATACTCATATAGTAGTATTCAATAAAAAGCTATACACGCTCACAGAAAAATCACACATAAACAGATCAATATAGTTTGAATTTGGAGTCATAGAATATGCATAATTCTAATACGACACATCAGAATAAGCGCTCAGCGCTCACGGTGGAGCGACTCCCCCCCTCTGAAGGTCTGACTCCTGCTCCTTCCTTCACAGATCCTTGAGAACCTGGAGAACGGCTTGGCTGAGGATGGCAGCATGATCACCGTAACACAGGAGAACAGGCAAAGTAAGCACACACACACACACACACACACACACACACACACTTAGCTGCAGACCTGGCCCTGGTCCCAGACTGCATCACACTGTGGGAGGAGAGTGAGGTCATGGGCCCCAGTGGGTAATACGTATACAAATACACACACACACACTGAGTCAGAGGCATACCTGGTGCAGGACTGCAGCATTCCTCAGCCACACACACACACACACACACGCACACCGCGCAGATCTAAAAGGTGTTTAGCACCTCGCCGCTTTGGCACACGTGCTGAATATCAAGCGACCTGCTCGCGCTAGGGGGATCGATGTGGATCGATCCGATCCAATCCACTCGCGTCTTCAAGAGTTCTGGGAAACCGGCGAGCAGGTAGACACGCCTCCACGCGGCGGGATCCAAATAGGCTTCCCCGACACAGCAGTTCAACCTCATGCAGCGGTCTGACTTTCATATCCGCTCACCAACTTTTCCAACTGCCTTTTCGTTTGTCAGGTTCTTATTCCATTGTTCTACTCAAAGCCATTTAATCAGCTACTTCAAGGGTGTAACAACAACAACAACAACAAGACAACTGGTGAAGTTGAGATAAATATGTCAAGACACTTGATTATAATTGGCAGGGTGACGCGTGTGTGTTTGTGTGCGTGTCTGTGTGAGGCCTTTCTACCAGTTATTCCCTTTTTCTAAAAGCAGTGGACTCGCCCTGTCTGTCTCTCTCTGTCCCTTTCTGTCTCTCTCTGTCTCTCTCTGTGTCTCTGTGTCCCTCTCTGTCCCTCTCTGTCCCCATCCACCCCCCCACAGTCGACAGTCAAGTCAATAACGCACGGCCTTGCTTTCACACATCAGACCCTTGCTGAGTGATTAGCGCTTTTCCCCCCGACACACACAGACTCACACACACACACACACACACACACACACACACACACACAGACTCACACCCGTGCCGCGATGAATACTAATGGACCTGCACTCTAACTCTTCCTCTGTGTGAGGGAAGAATAGGGCAGCAGTGTGCCGCAGTGTCTTCCCTTCCACCTCGCCTTAACATTTACCCCGGTGGGGGGGGGGGGGGGTTTTATCACAGAGGATCTCTGATAGAGACATACTGCTTGGGGGGTGGAGAGAGGGTGAAGTTACAGGGACACCAAAAACAAGCAGTTTGGAACAAAAGCGTAAAGACACCCGTTTTAAGAAATAAACCCCCCTGTCCGTCTCTTCTTCTCCCCCCGTTTCTAGTGTCACAGCAGCTGTGGAGGTCTCGCCTCAACCGGGTCATGTACTCAATGGCCAACTGTCTGCTGCTGATGAAGGTACGTTTGTCAGCTCAGGTTTGCGGTTCTCAATGTGCGTGTCGTCCGTGTGTGTGTCTGCGTTTGAGACGAGAGATGTCTGATGCCGTGCTGGGGGAGGATTCACAGTGAATCCCCCCAGACTGACCACTAATTGGATTCTTGGTCAGAGAGGGAGGGGGAGAGAAGTGGCGTCGATTTGATGAGATTAAGAGAACCACAGTGCCATCTACTGGTGAGAACACAAACGACAGGTTTTTATTTTATTTGTATGGTTTTGGATCAATTTTCAATACGTTTCAATACGTCTAACTGGTCACGACATTTGTAGCACATTTACTAAAAATCCACGATATTGTAGTTTACTATTGACTGGTGAAACATTCTGCAGGTTATGTAAATAACATGGCAGATTCTTCTGAGATGTAAAGTCCCATTTTCATTGTCTGTGTGAGGAAACAAGTAATTACATTGAAACTCCAAAAAAGAGAAAACGGCAGAAACAATAGGATGACACAGAATTTAATTCAGTGGACACCAGCAGTCAAAAAGAGGGAAAACACTGCATTCATTTTTCTGTCCAACGCCCCGCAGGATCAACCAGCGTGGGTGTTCTCATTTTGCCAGAATCTCTCCCGCTGGTACCGATCAGCATCAGCACAACCGCAATGACGGAGCCAATATTCACTTTGATGTTCGGTATCATAAGGAGGCATCAGTAATTCATTGTGTTAATCATACAACAGTAACATACTTCTCTCACCTGCAAAGGCCGTCCGGCTCACCTTGGAATTCTAGTTTTTCCTCGAGTCGCACCGATCCGACCCACAACACATCAGGCCCTTCTGCCTGAAATCTCTTTAGGTCACAGCGATGCACCTACTTGGTCAAGGAAAGTGCATTGAGCTTTTCTGCAAAGGCTGACTAGATATTCCAAATGACCTGACAGGATATTAAGCTGCGACGTCGCCCCCTTTTGACTCGTCTCATATACCGTATATACGATTTCAAGGTCTGGCTCAAGAGTTTTAGACGCAGAATAAAACCAAAATGCTTGCTCAGTATGTACGTACACACACACACACACAAACACACACACCACCCCGACCTCTCTGTCACCCCGCTCAGCAGTCCAGTCACCATGTGAGCGATGTGGAGGTGGGTGGAGGGTCACATCGCCCGGCCAATACACCATACGTGTGATTAATGCTCTCTCTCTCTGCACGCCCTCCACCTGTCTACCTCCTACCGTTTACCTTACCCGCCTCCAACTCTTTACTTTCTCCATTATTCACTCTGTCTCTCTCTCTCTCAGGACTACGTTCTGGCTGTGGAGACCTATTACTCCATCATCCAGTATGAACCCCAGCAGAGGGTGCAGCTCCTCAGCGGCATAGGACGCATCTTCTTGCAGGTCTGCGCAGAGACACACACACACACGGTATATATATATATATATATATATATATATATATACATACATGTATGTATGTGTGTGTAATAATTACACACATGTCGGATCGTCATTGGATAAAAGCAGACTCAATATGGAGAGAATCTCAGTGTTTTATGATCTCGGAGGAAAAATATCTGTACTGCTCCCATGTCCGTGGTTTGAGAGATTAAAGCTGTGTCTTAGCCTAGCTTAGCATAAATGCTGGAGCAGGGGGGCACGGCTCGCTAAATTCCACCGGCTTTTACTTCAGTGACAACCAGACTGGAAGGACACTCCCCAAAGGTCTTTCCCTCTGCCTTCAGCCTGTAAACTAAGCTAAGCTAGGCTAGCGCTGATAAAGTCTGTGCAGGAAATGAAGCAGACGTTCTGTAAACCTGGATGTGTTTAGAGTTCCACCATCATCACAGATAATATTTGTTGTGTCACCATTATTCCCTCCTGCAATGTCTCAGATGGATTAATGCTGCTTTGTCCTTGGCCAGATTGGAGACGTTAAAACGGCAGAGAGGTACTTCCTGGATGTGGAGACGGCCTGCCAGACGACCGGGAGCCAGCCGGCTCACATCACCTGCGTGCTGATGAACAGGTACCCGTTGGTTAAGATGAGTCTGCAACCTGCAACCCCCCCCCCCTCCCATGCTTTGAAATGACACTGCCTTCACATGTGACTTATTGTAAGTCTCCTTGGATAAAAATGTCAGCTAAATGACATGTAATGTAATAATATATGTGTATGTTTGCTTTCCATGATATGCCTCCCACAGCGCCACGTATGGCAGAATATGTTCCTCAGAAGACGATGTAATGTGTTTGTCTTCCAGGGCTTTTGTCTACCTCAGTCAGAACAACTACGGTGACGCGCACGCCTCCTTCTCTGAAGTCTTGAAAAACGACCCAAAAAACCCCGTCGTAAGTGCTCCATCCGCCACAGGAACAATGCACCACATTGAGCCGCCGTCATGTCGACTCATCAGTGGGTCGGGTTTATTCAACAGGAGACAAGATTATATTAACTTGCGTCCGAACTTTACCACTTCTCAGCAAGGAAAACACATGTCTTTGCATTTTATTTTAAATCATTGTGATAAGTCACTTTTTTATGTTAGTCCTAAATTATGAGCCATTTCGCTCAAAGTATTTTTTAACATTACATTACATTACATTACATTACAGGTCATTTAGCAGACGCTTTTATCCAAAGCGACGTACATTACACTTTTAACCCATGGCTTTTTCACATTTTTGCCCGGGGAGCAATTAGGGGTTAGGTGTCTTGCTCAGGGACACTTCGACATGGTACATGGGGCAGCCTGGAATCGAACCACCAACCTTGTGCTTCCCAGCACACCTTCTCTAACCCCTGCGCCACGACCTATAAATCCACCATCAATAATCATTATGAAGATGAATGATACGTGTGATGAAAGATGAAAGTCACGGCTGCTGGAGAACCTATAGCAAACTGCAGGAGGACAAATGATTGGGATTTGTTTGATGAAACGTGTTCTCATGCCCGACATCACGCTACAGGTCCTTTGATTGTCATTGATCTGCGTGTTTCCAGGCCAACAACAACGCAGCGGTCTGCCTGCTCTACCTCGGGCGGCTGAAGGAGTCCCTGAGCCAGCTGGAGGGCCTGGTGCAGCAGGACCCGGCGCTCTACCTCCACGAGAGCGTCCTCTTCAACCTGACCACCATGTACGAGCTGGAGTCGTCGCGCAGCACCCAGAAGAAGCAGGCGCTGTTGGAGGCCGTGGCCTGCAGGGAGGGGGACAGCTTCAACGCGCAGTGCCTCAAGCTGGTCTGAGGGGGGCACTCTCACAGCCGGGGGATCAGTAAAGGGAGCCCACGCGAGCCCCACAGTGTGGGTTGACACTGTGCAAAGGAGGAAGTCCTCTCCAGAGGTCCCATGTTCATTTTACAGATTAAATAGTTTGACATTTTGGGGAAATGTGCTGACTTGCAGTGAGTTGGTTGAGAAGATTGATTCAAGTTGTGTCTGCGATGTTAATATAAAGCTCATGATACAGAAAAGAGAAAAGAATTTGATGGACTGGACCTTACATGTGTTATAAAAGACTCAATATATTTGTAGGAAGGCTTGAATATCAAGCAAACGAGCTGATCTTCTCATCTGAAGCTCCGTGAGAAGGCAAATTAAAGCATTTCCTGAGAACGTCAAAACTGTTGCTCCAAATTTTTTTATCGAAAACAATCGCGGCCCCCCCCCAGCGCCACGGGGCAGCCGTCAGAGCACGTTGCACCCTCGCAGTGGGCATTACCCCGAGCAGAGACCACTGCAGTCACTAAAAGGATCTTATTGGGAATCTCAGTGTACATATCACAGCTGTTCTTTCTGTGTGATGTTAAGTCTTTTATTGATTTGTCCGAGTGGATCTTTAATTATCACATATTGTGTTGATCATATTAATGTGTTTTACCCTAAATAAAACTATTATTTTAAAACTACTTTGGTTTGATTTGAGGATAAATAACAAGTCAGGCCCGGATAGAAATTACGAGCAGCTTTATGTTGCACACAACACGTCAATCTGCCGTTGTGTATTTTCACATGCTGTTGAAGGTCTGATTTCACAACACATACAGCAAGAACAAGGCACCACAGGTTGTGCTGTGGAGAAACAAGTATCCAGACGTTATCTAAAGTACTGATTAGTGTTAATGACTTGATTCACGTTATCTTTACGATGGACACAGCACATTGATTAGTAAGAACGTTTCATATTCATAAAACGTTTTTTTTGCAGAATGACATTTGAGGCCCCCGGGGGACGGGACCACAGCTCAGGCTCCGGGATCCTGGAGAGAAGCCACGTACTTCTGGCGGATGTCGAAGTCATCGGCGGGCCGGTTGTAAGCTTTCCACACCGGCTCCCCCACAAACAGCCTCATGGCTTTGGTGTAGTTCTGCACAGACAAACCGCAACGACCCCGTTAAGTGTGCACTGAGTCATTTAGAAGACTTCCTGACACGTCCGCTCCTTTAGTTAGTGAGTGAGTGTGTGTCCTCCTGCTATCAGGGGGAGCCACGTACAGTCCTGTCCAGGGTGAAGCGGTGGTAGATGCCGGCCGGCAGGGTGATCAGGTCCCCCTTGGTCATGGCGATCCGGATCCAGCGCTCCTCCTTGTCCCGGACGTCGAAGTAGGCCTGGCCGTCAAGGATGTAGCGGATCTCATCGTCCAAGTGCAGGTGCTCCTCGAAGAACATCTTCAGCTGAGAGCACAGACATAGAGGAGGTTCCATCGTGAGACCAGCTGCTCAGCGTCCAGAAGGACAGAGGACACTCACCACTAAAGAGCATTATTCTTGTTTCCCCACAGGTCATGAAGTCCTTGCAGTCAGTGTGGACAGTGACCTTTCCTCTAGTTCTGTCTATTGCAAATATGCGGCAGTTTGTCAGAATGAAAACCGATCCATTATTGATCAATCACCGTTTGATGGACAGGGGGCAGTTACCTTCTCCTCATAGTTGGCTAGTGTGTCCTTGTGAATGGAGATGATGTCCATGTAGGAGTAGCCTTGTTCTTTGCGAATCAGCTCCAGCTCTGGGTCTGTTTCATAGATGTCCGCATTGAGCTGTAGCAACGTTACCAAGGAAACGACACTGCGTTAGTTTGACAACAACAACAAAGATGTCGCCATGTTTGTTCTCATTCTGAGGTGAACAGTTTCCCCCCCGAAAAAGGGGGCTTGTTTTGGTTGACTTCATCCGATAGCTAGCCGCCACGTGCGGACGCTAGGGCCGCGTGGCTGTGACGTCAGCTTACCTTCCAGTGGAACACCCCCAGCTCCCTCAGCCGGTCCGGGGAGACGGGCTGGTTCGGGACCAGCCTGTGCGGCTCTCTCTGGTCCTCCTCGGAGTCGTCCATGTACCAGGCTTCCATCGCCTGGCTCGACGCGTCCCCCGGCTCAACCCCCGGAGACAACTCGAGGGTCATGTGACGTGACTGCGCTTGTAAGCCGGAAGTGGGCGCGGCCACCGTGACGTTATCTTTTTTTTCTTTTTTTTCATTAAATTATCGTTTCCCACATTGATATTTCACCTGTAACAACACAGCAATTCATGAACACGAATTGCCGTTAGGAAACCGGTAGACATGTTAGAAACACGCAGTCATGTCATTTGATCGCTTTGCTTTGAAGGGTGAGCCGGAAGTGTCCATCATCAAGGAATCATTAAGTCCCTGATGCAGTTTGGTTAATCTATACATACCTTTTCAAACCCAATGAGTTTATACATCATCTTAAAAATATTATGTAAATGTTCTAGAAATTGAAAATAATACTAATTTATATTCTGTTCATTTAACTTCCAGCTCCTCTAGTTCTGGTTATTTTATTTACATTGGCCATTTTGGCCAGGTATTGGTCTTTTTATATTCAACTTTTCTATTTCATTGTTGGAATGCTGAAGAATACTGAATCAGCATTCCAACTACTACTTTAACCAACCTATTATTCTACTATTAGTTATATTACTAACACTACAACTACTAGTATTTGTATTGCTTTTCCGACGGAAAAAAAATCGTATTTACGCTTTTTTTAGCAATTCTTTCAAATTCACTTCACCTTTTCCCATTTCTGCATTTTCAGCATTCCAACATATTTTCTTAAGACAAGACATTTTTATTGGTATATTAATATGTTCTCCACTATTTATTATTAAGTACTAGTAAACACGGGCCCTGTCAATGTATACGTTTATCTCTTCTCACATTTTTTAAATCTGGGTAAGGTAAGGTCAAAGCAAGAAGTCTAAATACGCCTCTACTTGTTTGTTACTCCGGTGCTACTCAGATAAACCCCCTGGCTGGTGGACAGACGTCTCTTTCGCACACACAAAAAGCCCGGAGCAAACAGCATTGTTCTCCATGGTGTGTATTTGTGTCACTCATGCATGGACTTGAGTACTTGAACATGAACAAAGTACTACAACTAGTATGTCCTATCTCTGTGAAGTACACATTAATAAAGGACTGTAGCCCTTCCCGTGATCAACATTTAATAAATAGATACCTTCTTGATGAATCATCACCATTCATTCATCACGTGAACAATACGAGCTGAGGTTTCAACCACCAACATAAGAAGTTATCTGATGTTCCGAATAGATACACAGTATTTATCTAGTTTAATGAAGCCAACCTCACATGTGTAGTTAACACAACCAGAACTGTTTCATAACTTATGATGAAGCCATATTAATAACAAACGACGAGATGAATGAACCCAAGTTGTTGATCGCTTTAATGTCTTCAGGTTTTACATTAGAACAACTACTAATACAAGTGATTCAACAGAGCTTTTGGGCTCTTTCTTTCTTCTTCGACTGTTGTATTTTCTGTACATATTTTTCCAGTATTTTGTCATGGTCCTTGATGAACGCAACAATCTACAAAGGCAACAGGAGAACGGTGAGTTCTTGGTTTTCTGTCTCTGATGTGCATCCCCCTCCGCTCCGGGTACCTTATCCAGCTGTGTCCTTGTGTCATTCTTGTCCAGGTCTTTGTCTCCGTCCACGTTGTCGATTGTCATTTCGTAGAGGTTAAGGGTCGCCATCTTAACCTGCCCCAGCCTGAGTATTTTACTCGTAGTCGTTTCCTGAATGTAGTTCCACTGCTTTTCCTGTGTGAAAACAGGGACCGCTGCATTTCCCAAAAGATGCTAGCCGTGTATTTAGGCGACATGTGATTTGTTGTGAGCTCTGTTGCGTGATACCCAGTCCAGCGTTTTGGCGCGCATCATCTCTGTCTCCCTGAGGAGCTGCATCAGCCGGCCGTCCTTCTCCAGGCGTGACAGGCGCCGATTGCTCTCCAGAGTCACCAGCCGAGTTCTCAGCCGGTCCACCTGCTCACTCGCCTTTTCCTCCTTCTTCTGGAATAGGTCCCGAGCGTAGAGAAGATTCTCCACATGTTCCTTGACCGCCTGCATGTTCTCAAACTGTCACACACACACAGAGACACACGTTAAGGTGTGGCTCAAAGATCCAACTTCACCATCTCAAAAAGGTCCATGACCGTCCCCTGTAGGCACCAAAGAAATGATTGTTCTGAACTGAAATAGACGTTTAACTGCAAGGAGATCGAGTGCTCATGCCGACGGTTTAGGTCACCGTTGAGAGTTATTAGATGCATCGATATTTTATTTATTTACCATGACTTCTACTCACCAAATGAGAAGCGTTGCATCAAGCTGGGATTTACCGTCACGTTCTAAAACATGGCCTCGTAACATAGTGGTCCAATCTAAACATTTTGGGAAGTTTAAGTGGCTGTAAAGTCCTTCCTACCTTGGTCAGCCCGATGGCCTGCTCCATGAAGTGCTTACACTCAAAGCGTTTCTGTCTCAGACGCTCTTGCTCTAGTTTCTTCCCCATCTCCTCAGCATACACCAGCTTTAGCCTCTCCAGCTCCGCGTCCAACTCTAGCCTCACTTTCATCTCCCTCTGTGCTTCCTCAGAAACGCTACGAGCGTCTTCTTCCTGCAGGGACGGAGGTAGAGGGACTTTGAATTGAAATTCAACGTTACACACAGTCTTGTAAAGGAGTAGTGTGTGGAATGGTCCTCTACTTTACCGGCCGATAATGGATTACAAATGCATCCGGCAATTTCTTCATCTCTGCATGCAACTCAATGTTGCGCTGGACCAAACTATTCAATTTCTACATAAAGCAGGAAAAGGTTAGAGCAGAATATTTAGGATGGACGCTGCAGCGTTACTCCCCATGACGCAGCATTCTGTCTTCATTCTTACAGATTAGAAAAGTGACGTCTTGATAAGGAGCATTTGTGCTTGTTAACAGCTAGACATTTACTCTCCTGCCTCAATACGGACATTTCCGTTCTTTTAATTTGTCATTTTTTGGCAGTCGAACAATTATCGATCTAAGTATTAGTTTCTTCTCACTCTGTTATTTTTAAAACATGTATATTTGTAATGATTTGTGATAAGAACAGATTAGTCAACTTACATTCTCTTTTATTAACCAAATGTTAAAAACAAATATAAGTAATCTGTCGGCTATGGATCCGGACGTTATAGAGAAAGGGCCGTAAGTATTTGGACTGACACACTAAATGTTGCCACACTTTCTAAATGTTGCATGCAACTCCAAATGATTTACACTGAAGCAGTCTACCTTTGGTTGTAGACTTTCAGCTTTAATTGAACGGATAATTGTTAGCCAGACAGTGTGGCCTGTTCCCGTTTTATTCCATGACAAGTGAAGCAGATCAACCCGATTGGCCTGAATGTGCGGTGAGACCGGATTATGGTAGATTAGGTTGTAGCAGGTTGTCGACAGCACTACGGTTGTCGTTTGTGTTCTAACAACGTTTTATGTCATAATTCCAACTTTCCTAACTCCTAGTGTATTATTAGTTCAGAAGTGGTCTAGTTGTGGGAATGCATCACTCTAGACAGAGATGAAATCCAGCCAATCCAAAAACGAGGTTTGTCACCAATCAGATGTAGAGATACCGCCACAGGCTCCGCCCCTTACTGCTGGCTGGTGGGCCTCTAATTCAATGCGGCCCTTTGGTTTCCCCAAACACGTGAGAGGTTACACTTCTTTAACAGCGAACCGAAGCCTAGTTTATGCTTTTGCGTTTTCAGAGAGGCGCAAGGAAACGCAAAGAGCCCCTTGCGTGTCTCTTGCGTGTCTTTTCACACCTCCTTGCGTGCGTTGACACATTTTTCTTTTGCGTCGAAAGCGACGCAGCCTCCCGCAGCGCACCATGCTGCGATTGGTCCGCTAACTACTACACATTTCCGAGAGAACGGATCAGAGTAAAGAACTTTTGTCGGAAGAAATGCGTAAATATGACATCATTACATGCCAATGGCGGGTTGGATTCACGGAGGGAGATCTCCGCAAACGCCGGTTTGCCGGTCGAGAGGTGCACAAAGTTGTGGAGGAAAATACGGGACAAATGTGTCCTTGATGAAAAGCAGCAGTGTGGATGCACGGGGCAATAAAGTCTATGATACATAAATAAACCAACCGACGACTTCCACACACAAAGACGTGACTCTCCAGGTCGTCTTCAACACACGCAAGACTTTTGGAACCATGAGTTGAAACGAGTGCGTCGACACGGCGGTGCGTAAAGACGCAGACGCAGAGCGTGCGCCAGGCTTGAGGGCGGTCAAGTGTCACGCATTGAGCGTGACAGCCACGCACTCCCGCCACACATCCAATTCCTCACGCCAAGACATCGGACTCCGGTCCGCCCCACCGACACTATGTCACAAATGGTCTTGAAAACTAGAGAACCCCGGTGAATATTTGGTAACATTGGATACATCTGAAATAAACGATTGACAGGGATGGAAAATAATATAATTGCATGTTTTAAATCGGCGGTGGTGATCGTGATGAACAAGACAACAAGAGCTCTCACGTGTCGGCGCGGCTGCGTCAGCTCATCCAGCCGTTTCCCGGCCCGGCGCAGCTGCAGGAGGACGCTGGTGACGTCCTCCGGGGGCTCCGCTGCCCTGTGGACACACACGCGCACGGACGCATCCCGTTAGTGCGCGCCGAGCTGCCGGTGGGTTCTCGGTGAACGCGCCGCGTACCGGAGGCTCCTGCGGTCCATCGCTCCCGTTGTCTCCGAAGACTTGTCTCTTAAAGGTTTTCTCATTTCTAAACGTTTCTACGAACGCGCCGAGATGCCGTTTCCATGGTAACGCAAACGTCGCAGGCCTCCAAAGATCCGTTGGTTGAAACCCACCGAATTCAAACGGGATGACGGAAGATCGTCGGTGTTCTCGCCGATACAAAAACAATAAATGCTCAGAGCACCAAACAGCACAAACAGTCAGCTATCGAACTGTTGATAATAGTGGAATATTTCATACCTGCATTAAAATCAATGGTATAAATAATACAATTTGTCAGAAATATTAATTAAATGTTATATTGTAGTATGTTGAAAAAAAATGTCATAGTATAGAAAGCATTGTATACGACACAAATAATCATAAATAATAATCATAGAATAAAATAAATTTCAGATCTTTGTGTCAATTCTGTACATACTGGGTGTCCTGAGCCTCACTGAACCTCCTGCGTAATCTCAGATTTATTGCAGGGATATTTTATTAGTTTAAACTAGCTGAACCCAATGACTATCAAAGGTGTCTGTGGGAATATTCACACAGTGGTCCAACTAACGTTCTACAAAATAAACATCGACAATAGTAAAATGATGTTACTTTAATCAGATTATTTTACTTTTCCATTCAAAAGCATACAACAGCATTTTACACACACACACACACACACACACACACACATTTCCTATGTACACAAAGATGTACAGCGTCTCCAACAGGCAGTGCTACAAGTCTTCTCCCCCTTTGCTGATCTGCACCACGGTCTTTCCACGAGCGTGACCTTTCTCCATCTTCTCAAAGGCCTGAGGAACCTGGGAAAAGCTGAAAGTCTCCTCCACCACAGCCCGAATCTAATGGAGAGCACATAAGGGCAGGCAGAGGTCAAACAAGCACCGTTATATAGAACATCTTGTGTTACAATGTCAGAAGCTGTTTTTTTATGCACGTCTGAGCAGGAGCATTCCTGAAAGTCGTACCATAGAGGGGTGTTATCTGCATAGAGAGTGATAATCCCCAGTTTAACTGCAATGTATTTGAAATGAGCGGTGCTCCAGAGGTTAACGTGCCATTAATCATTTGGCGAGGCCTCGTCCAAAAAGATCACAATGCCACATGAGAAGATTTGAAGATGACCAACAAAGCAGCTTGTCTCTCAGTGTTTGAGCATCGACCCTGCTGCGTGCGCCGGCCACAGCCATTTGATGTCGTTAAAGAAAAGTCATTAAACGGTGGCAGAAACCAAAGGAGCCCAAATGCACTCGGTGATGAACAATCTGGTGTCCGTCCCCGACCAGGCTAGAGAAAACATCTGGTACTGTACCTGTCCTGCATCCACCATTTCCCTTATTTCATCCAAGGCAGGACCGCTGGGTGCGAAGAAGCCCCAGCGGTAGTGAACTCCTTTGACAAGGTGCTACAAGAAAGCAGACAAAATGCATGTTGGGTATTTAAAACGTGCGTAATAGTGTTCATGCAAGACCCTCCGCTGTTACCCTGACGAGACTGATTAAGGAGTTTCCTTCAGGACTTATTCAGAAACAAGGACACTGTGACACCCAAGCCAGCTGTCGGCGCTTCTGGTTTTTCTTTTTGACTGCAGTGCACAGCGTGTCCTCACCGACGGTGCCCACTACTTCCTCTCTACAAACCCACAAGCTGCTGCCTTCTTTTTTCTTTACTAGTTTATTCTGCGGTGTTTCCATGACATCTCTGAGCCGTGCACGACAGCCCCACGCCGCCTGGGAGGGGGTGAGGGTTCAGGCATTGCAAGAGGAAGAAGGAACTCTACACACTGCAGATGAAAAGCGTGACTCCTACATTTAATGGAGCAGAGTGGTAGCGACTCCCCCCTCCCCCCCACTGGTTCTAACATCGCCATAAGTGAAAGGGCACGTCTCTCTGGGGCTGTCCCATTGCGTTAGTCGCTACAGAGGATTTCAAGAGTAACTCAAAAGAATTCCAGGAGCTCCGTGAGGTCGTAGGCGAGTATGATGGCAAAACACCACAGGTATTAATCATCTCATAAAGCCGGGGCACATCTCAACCCACCAGCTATCGGTTACTAAATCATGGGGTTTCCGGTGTTACTATCAGGTATCCAAGCAGAGACTTCCTGCTCTTTCCGGCGCTCACTGGTTACCACCCCGAATAGCAACCTGAGGCACAACAGTGAAGCTGCATTCGAGTGCTGGTTTACATTGGTCACTGGTTCCACCCCCGAACTTTCCTTTCAAACCTCTGCTACATCTAGAATACGTACACTTATTCCCCAGGTTAACCTTGTGAAACACATCCCTGAATGACTCAATTCCAAATAAAAAGTGTTGTCTGGAGGAGAAAGAAGTGATGGTCGCGCACGTATGTGACACTGAAACGCACAAGCTGCAAGCCTTGCTCTGCACGATGCTCACGCCGTGCACGGCGCCAGGAGCACGAGAGGTAAACGGGCCTCCTGTTCGAAATGTGTCCAGACCATAACGCGCTTAATAATCTGCACACGCCGGGGTTAGAGGTCACCGGGGGGCGGGACCGGGACTGACACTGAGCAACACTGTGGCCAAGGCGACCGGAAAGATATCATAAAGCCTTTGCTATTGAACGGAAGCGGCAGATGCATTTTCACACAATTTGTCAATATCACACATCTCGACTGTGGTCGACCCGCTAATTACGACCGGCTGTTTGCCACCAACTTGTTTATTAACACGCTCCGTTCCCAGCTGTAAATCTCTGAGCTCTTTGCATTTTCTACTGGTTTGATCGATATTTCAACAACGAAATGAAAAAGGGTCCAAAGACAATATTTATTCGGAGCGTGAGGACACTGCTGTTCTGTCCAAATATCACGTGCACGAACCAACACCATCAAGAAATTTTTCAAACCTTTCTTTTTCCTGAGATAAAGCAAATTACAAATTTTTATTTGGTACAAAAAAGACTGACTAATATCAGGTTAATCCACGTCTGAATACTGCATGGTGTGGGTGGGGGGGGGGGGGGGGGGTGGCGCTATTACCTTGAGCATTTTAGTGGCCCCCGTGGCAGCAGACTGCATCATGCCGTCTGCAATGCCCAGGCTGTCGATGTTCTGGAGGAACGGCGTGATGAGGGTAACAAACTTGGCGCCGCACCAGGGCTTAAGCAGATTGAGGGCCCAGCGTTCCGTGTCCCCGCCAACGTTGTCCAGGATCAGGTCGAATCTTGAGGTGGAGTTTGTGAAAGCAATGAACAACAAGCAAAGAAACATACGGGTGGCCATTGAAGGTGTACGCGGTAATAATTGAGATTGAGTGTGATGGAGTTCATTAATTCATCACTAATGAGCCGACCAGCTCATTAGCAGCTAGAAGGACTGGGTTGCCTTGGCAACAAGAGGTTTGTCCAATCAAACGCCGACATAGATGAAAAAACAATGCACGCGCGTGGCATCCTCTCACTTCTCCAGCGAGCTGAGCGGCTCCTCGACAGGCCCGGCGGTGTAGTCCACCACGTGGTCGGCACCCAGGTCCCTCACAAACCGCTCGGCATTCTGGGAGCAGGTCACGGTCACATGGGCTCCCCAGGCCTTCAGCATCTGCAAGCGAATGATGGTATCAGCGGTTTTGTTGTTGCACCATCTGATAAGATTGGGGTTATTTGCGGCGGGTAACTGAGCAGCACACAGCACGTGTGGATAATGACATCAAGTGTGACGTTTGGAGTGTAAGTATTCACGTCTGGATCAACTTCTCATTGCACTGCTGTTTATGACAAGTACATGATTACATGTGTGTATCTGTGCTTGATGCTCATAATATATAGCTTGCCATCATCGTCCTCTTCATCCCTTACCTGTATGGCAAATGTTCCCACTCCCCCAGACCCTCCGAGGATCAGAACCCTGTGGAAGGAGGAGAAAAAGCAGACACGCACCATATGAATGTGGCACTGACTCGGTTCTCCACCATCGCTGCGCAGACGCTCCGCTCATCAGGCCTGCTTCTCAAATGTGCCGCAAGCTCTAGCGCGCCGAGTTACGCGGCACGTTGCGCACAGGCTCATAACCGGAGAGGGTCCGGACGGAGGATTAACAGCAAGTGGAGAATGTGTGTGTATCCATCCCCTCACCGCTTCTTGGCACAGTTGTCCTTGTTGAGCCCGCCGGTGTTGACCAGTGCCGACCAGGCGGTGGTTGCCACATAGGGAACGGCGGCTGCCTCTACGTGGCTCAGTGACTTTGGTTTGTGGGATACCTGAGCAGCACACGCATCTAGAATCAGCGGTTGATGATCGCTCTCTCATCCCAAATACATACGTGAAATGTGGCAGAAAATACAGAAGTGATGCTGATGAAACAATAGACTTCCACGAGGGAACAGGGACAACCTTTTAGTGAACAATACCTCGTTGGCACTCAGCACCACAAACTCAGCCAAGCTGCCCTGCTTCCACGGCGGGATGGCCGCCCACACCTGATGGAGACACTGCGTTAGCGGGACGCTCATCCGAGAGACTCACCTTTATGTTGTTGTTTAGCACATGGGGAGAAATACATCAAATCAAAAAGTAGCCCCTCCTGCTGCTCGCCGTCGTTTACCTCATCCCTCTCTCTGAAGTGCTTCACATCCAGGCCGCACTCCATGATGACCCCGGACGCATCCCTCCCCAGGACGAGGGGGAACTCGCTGCCCGACTGCTTGATGTTCAGAGGGTCTCTCTTCATAGAAAGCGCTGCGGCGCCGTAGCCATCTGAAGGGGAGAGTTTCAGATCGCCGATGGTTTAGAGATCTGTACAAACTAAGCAAAGGTCTGCAGAGTGACCGACGATCAAGAACTAATCCTCTGGTCTTCTGGAAAACTGAAAACGACTGAAAAAGTCATCAGTCATCAGTCAGGTTTCCTTGGGAAAGACAGAGGTCACAGTGGGCCAACGTCACCTTGTGGTCTTCTTAATCCTCGCTGTTCAACAACAAGCACACACTCAAGCACACCTCATCCACACTCCCTACCCATCCACACACAGACCGCGATCTGGGGCCGTGGTGGAGGACTGGCAGGCAAACACCAGCCTGGGACGCTGCGTCCTCCCTGTTGACATCCATCCATCCATCCAAACTGGGACATGCAGCACACGTCGGACGTCGATCCATTGGTTGATTTCATTGTCTTGTCTAAATCGCAAACATCCACACAGGCTTCGCTCACCTCTCATGCTGACGTCAAGCGGGTTCAGTCCTGCTGACAGCACTTTGACGATGACCTCATTGGGGTAGTTGATGACGGGGAAACCGGCGTTTCTAGTGAACCGCAACACGTCGTTGCTTCCATATTTATCAATGACCCAGGCGGGCATTATGGTCCTGCTGCTCTTGGTAACACTGAACATCCTAGTGTGACTCACATGCCAGCAAACTGATTTGAATTGTTTGCCGTGTCTCAGGTAGCTCATCGTTTGACTCTGGACGGCTTCAACGTTGACGCGTGAAATAGAAATACGGTACAGACACTGTGCCACATAACAGTGCATTGAAGTTCTCTGCAAGCCACGGCTACCTTCTGAATGTAAACATGTCGTTTTTGCGAAACGTTACACTTCAAATCAACGTCCTCTTCCTTAATGTTCAATTTCCTGAACTTAAATCCGCTCCACCGAGCTCCAGGACCGCTCCGCTCAACTCTCCAGTTCCCTGGACTTCTCTCCGCGTCTCCTCCAATCAGAGCGCGGCTTCCTCGACAGCCGTCCAATCAGAACACACGTTGTTAGAAGTGGCCCATCGAAACAAAGATGGCGGCCCGCTCGTAACGTACACCTCGCAAAGGTTGCCGTTAGTGTGAGAGATTGTCGCGGGACTCGTGTGAACATGCTGAGCCTGACGATACGCGAGGTTAGTGCGACTGCACGCGACTCGGTGTCCGTTGGTTCGTTCTTTCGTTTGGCGCGTTCACGCCGCGTGTCCTGTTTGTGATGTCATCTCGATTTCCTGATACCTTCGGTCCTACTCGCAGATGAATTATTTACACCTCATCTATGACTCACTCAGTATTGGAACAGGGCTGATGGCTTATTTGGGAGGTCGTTTGATTCAAACTATCAAATAAATGTAGTCAAGTAAAAATACTAATATCGACTTGTGTACCAACTTGAAGTATCAGAGTAAAATACATCAACTCAGAATGAAAATGATACTTATGAATTGAAGGCATTTGACGGTTAAAGTGCTGCTTTCAAGGTCCTGGTGTTGTGGATGATTCGCTGTCACTGTTGATCAGAGACATTATGTTATCACGTCCACCAACGCGTTTCCTTCTATAAGAAGTCAGACTGTTGGCTGTGAAAAGGGTCTCTCGAGTCACCCAACAACCTGCTGCCGTGGCCTCATTGTTCTCCAGGTGTCTGCGGCCCTCCGGGAGGGAAGAATCTCGCCCACGGAGCTCTGCAGGAAGTGTCTGAACCGCATCAAGAAGACGCAGCATCTCAACGCTTACATCACCGTGACGGAGGAGCTGGCTCTGCAGGAGGCCCGAGAGGCAGAAGCCCGACTGCTGCAAGGTGCGCCTGTGTCTCCCCCTGCTCGGCTAGATTCAATCCACAACATTTTTCTAGGCTTGCGTCAACAAAACACGTTACTCTGCCTGTTGTTCTGGAGGCGAATCGCTCTGCAACACACGCAAGACTTTACAACCATGAAGTCAAACGAGTGCGTCGACGCGACGGAGCGTAAAGACGCAGAAACACGCGCCAGCCTTTACTGATTACATTCTTGTCCTCAGGTGCCCCCAAAGGTCCACTGGATGGAATCCCGTTTGCAGTCAAGGACAACTTCTGCACAGAAAATATCAAGACTACCTGTGCTTCCAGGATGCTTAAAGGTCCGCTTGAACCTCAGTGAAAGTTCCTTTGTCTTTATATATATATATATATATATATATATATTCGGATGACAAGTAGCCGCTCCTTGTGCTACAGACTACACTCCGCCCTACAATGCTACGGTGGTCCAGAAGCTCTTTGACCAAGGCGCTGTCCTCGTGGGGAAGACCAACATGGATGAGTTTGCGATGGGGTATGGCCGACACTGTCAGTGTCTGAATTATAACAGTAACCGCTAGTCAAAAGTTTATTAATCAATTAATTGCTGAAGCCACTGTGGCTCATTGAAGATGAATGGTTGTCCACGTCTTGTTCACGCATTCGCCCCGCAGCGCGGGCAGCACCGACGGGGCTTTCGGCCCGGTGAGGAACCCCTGGAGCTACGCCGCTCCCTACAGAGAGCGGACCGGGGCGGCGCCCGACGCCGACTGGGCCGTTACTGGCGGAAGCTCCGGAGGAAGTGCGGCCGCTGTGGCTTCGCTCACCAGCTACCTGTGAGGGGGAATCGACTGGTGCCAGAAAACACAAAAGCAAAATGTATTTATTCAAAATGGGGTTTAAATACCGTTTCCTGGCAGGGCTTTGGGTTCGGACACGGGCGGTTCAACCCGTAACCCTGGGGCACTGTGTGGAGTTGTGGCCCTGAAGCCCACTTATGGTCTGCTGTCCAGACATGGTCTCATCCCCCTGGTCAACTCCATGGACGTCCCCGGCGTCATGACTCGCAGCGTCGGCGACGCGGCCGTGGTCTTCGGTAAGAAGCACTCGATGACTTGTCATCGGCCTTCCCGGCACACGATGGAACCACAAAAACACGATGGTCAGGTACAGCAACGGTTGAGTGTTCGCTCCTCAAGAACGAGTTCTCCCAAAATATTCCCTTAACCAACAGCTATTCCATTTGTGGCTCACATCTTCTATTTTTTATTTCTTTATTGTTAACTAATACATTAAAAAAAGGAAATCCACGATATTAGTTTTAGGATAAAAACACACTGATGATGCAACATTGAGCATCCTTTAAATCGATGATATGGGAAGAATGTGTGACTTCGTTAATCGGTGTCTTTTTGTCAACCTTGACACAGATGTCCTCCGAGGACAAGATATGAAAGACTCAACAACAACTCCTGCTCCCTCGTCGCTGACCGATCTACACCTTAATGTCAAGAACATCTGCGTCGGCATCCCTAAGGTGAGAACGGCTCCTCCACTAAAGTCCTCAGTTTGGTTTGGTGAAGTACAAATCTGTTTTGTTGTATGTGCAAACTGCCTCCCGTCGCTGGCAAACCTCACGCCGTCGGACCAAAAAAAAGTTGCGATGTGGAACCTTATTTGAGGAAGTTAACAGAAATGGGAAGAAAAAAAAAGCGTGAGAAGAAAATGAGTTGTATGAAACGTGAAGAGTTATAAATCTGACTGTGATGCTTTTTGTTGTAATTGAATATGACCTCCTTTCCCTGCTGTGTGTGCGTGATGCTCCTCAGGAGTACCACGCCCCGGGTCTGTCTCAGGAGACTCTAGCACAGTGGAGTCTTGTTGCCGACATGTTTGAGAGGGCGGGGCGCGGGTGGAGCAGGTGTCTCTCCCCCACACGCAGCACTCCATTGTGTGCTACCACGTCCTGTGCCACGCGGAGGTGGCGTCGAACATGGCGCGCTTTGACGGCCTAGAATACGGTAACGACAACCGGCGCAGGGCGCCTTGAGGGTGCAGCGTGGAGCAGCTCACACCCACGTTTTCTTCGAAATCCCCCAAAAGACGAAAGGCTCTTGGTTCTTTTCTCCCTTTCGTCAGGCCATCGCAGCGAGGTGGACAGCTCCACGGAAGCCATGTACGCCTCCAGCCGCCACGAGGGCTTCAACGATGTGGTGCGAGGGAGGATACTGTCTGGGAACTACTTCCTGCTCAAACGGTAAGGCGGCGATCGAACCGAGCGCCAGTCACTTGGCCAAGTTGTCTTTCAATAAATGTGTGGGGGAATAAAGCAACACACTAAAGGATGCATCGGCATCCCCGCCGGGTCTTTTCCTGACAGGAACTACGAGCACTACTTTGTGAAGGCCCAGAGAGTGCGCCGCCTGATCGCGGAGGATTTTGAGCGCGTGTTCGGCTCCGGCGTCGACGTGCTGCTGACTCCCACCACGCTGGCCGACGCAGCCCGTTTCTCCGACTTCACCCAGGAAGACAACCGGACGCGCAGCGCGCAGGAAGACGTCTTCACCCAGCCTGTCAACATGGCAGGTACAGAAAGAAGACGTAAAAGGGAGAAGTGTTTGTGCGTAGGAGGAGAACAGGAACAGGAACTTCTTTTTTTGCATGCAGGAATAAACACAAAACACCCACACGGCTAAAAGCTTTCATTCATAGCCATGTAGTCATTGGTTCTTATTTTTGCATTCTATTACAGACTCATTAGATCATCAACTCCTCCAGTGGAATCAAGAGGAAATGAATATCTTCTCCTTTTTTGCCTTTTTGCTCTTATGGCAAAGGTTATTGAAACCTCACATAGAATCCTCATAACTAACACAGGAGTGTACTTTAAAGGCGTTTGCTTTTACTCTCCAAATCAACCTATAACATGTCTGGAGATTTGAATTATTACCTTTCCCCTGAACTCTTTTTTTTGCCCCAGGACTGCCCGCCATTTCCGTACCAACTGCTTTGTCAAGCCGGGGCCTTCCCATTGGGTTACAGCTCATAGGCCCCGCCTTCCAGGACAAGAAGCTGCTGTGCGTCGCCCGATGGATGGAGCAGAGGGTCGGCTTCCCCTCCATCAGTGACTGGGGAGAGGAGGGTGGGAATGGCGCAGGGACAGAACAGACTCCAGCTGTGTGAAGCGAGCGGTGGACACGAGGGGACCCACATGTGGTGGACTCCCTGTGCTACCGCGGTGCACCTCCTCGCCTCGTTATTGGCCTTCGCAGGACACGTTTGTAGCCATCAGGCTCATTTCTCCCTGATGGAATGAAAATAATTACAACAATGAAGAGACTCCCTGATCAACAACGTGCATCATACGTTCAGTAGAGACATTGTTTATTAACCGGTGACCTCCTGCTGTGTGTTGGTGCTATTAAAAATTAAATGTGTATATATAAGAGGGGTGATTTATTGAGTGTGATATTCGTTATTTGCCAATGTGCATGCGTAGACATTTCTCTTATTGTGTGAACCTGTGGACCTGGAGAAAGCCTTCGACGGGGTCCCTCAGGGTTCTTATGGGGGCATGACTGCAGTGGGAGCTGTGTTCGTACACATTTGGCCACGTTCCCGGTGGGCGTCGGCCTCTGCCGGGAGCCGCCCTTCAACACCGGCCCTGTACGTGACCCTCACGGACAGAATACCTAGGCGCAGCAGGGAGTTTGAGAACGTCCGGTTTCGGGGGTTTCGAGATGACTCATCCAGCTAGGACGCCTCCCACTGTAGTTTTTGGGGGCACGAGACCCCGGGGATGAGCCGGGACACTCTGGAAGGATTATACCTCCTAACGGGCCCGTTAACGTCACCCACAATGAGTTGCGGGCGGGAGGGAGGTCTGGGTAAACCTGCTGCCAGCTCAGACCTGCTCGGAAAACGGATGGATGGATGTTTTATGACGTATCCTGAACAGGGTTGTGAAGACCAATTCGGCAGAAATGCTGTGATATTTATCAAAAATAACTGAGCAAATGCATAGTTTTCTGCATTACTGAAGAAAGCGGGATTTGAGAAGAGTAACCATGCTGCATGAACAAGGACCAGCAGACTCTTCTCCCACACATTAAACTGCTGGAGAATCGACCCAGTCAGCCAATCACAGTCTGGGAAATCGGTCTAACTAAGTGCTACAACGAGATCACAGATTATCCCTCGACTCCAGCTCTCATCCTCAGACATTCCTCTACCGTGTGGAAGTTACATTCCTTATTAATCCTTTCAACAGTGCATACGATGGAAAATTGATTTTCACACAGGATGACAAGTTGTTGTAAACCATGACAGTGTTGGTTTTTGTGTGTAAAAAAAATGTATTAGTTCCCTGTTTAAGGCCTGTGACCAGATAACTTCTTCCTCTTTTGTTTTCTCTGTAATTTGATTAATTTATTACTACAAAAAAATATATGTAATGGGAAAGAATAAGTAAAATATATGTATAGTTTTAAACCTTTGTTCTTTAAGTAGCGGGACAGGTCCTTGTTTCACCCTCATCCATAATATTTTATAGAGAACCACCAAATCTTGCTTTTACAATTCCAATGCATCTGGCACACTGAATGCATCACCAAACAAGTTGAGCATGTGAGGACTCAAAGCATCTGACTCCAGCCGGCCAAGAAACAGACTTAAGAGGCCAATTACACCTGCTGCGCATTCTTCCAAATGAACAAAGAAATCATGGGCATCAACAGCTGGCGTGTCAGACGCCATTCATGAGACACACCCGCGTCTCACAATGACCCAGCGGGGAATTTTACCGAGGTATTTAACTTAATATGCAACATTAGAACAAATAACAAGAATCCCCAATAACGGAATGAAACATACAGAAAGACATCAGCATTGCACAGGTGTGTATGGTCTACTTCACCCACAGCAGTTTTGCAGCCTGACAGCAGCGGGAAGGAAGGAGCGGATGTACTTCTCTTTCACACTTAATTCAAGCATCCAACCAAAAAGCATCGACTTAACGCGAGGAATCAGGCTGAATCATTTCAGGGTTCCTGCAGCGCTATAGCATCCATTGATGGAAGTTGCTTTATGCCTTTATATCAATCTTTTCATCTCACTCTCTGCAAACTATCCCACCAATACATGTGTGATGTTTGCTCCATTTTCAGACATTGTACCTGATAAACATACTTGCACAGCGTTTTTCTAGTCTTCGGACCATTCAAAGCGCTTTAACAATGCATATCATCAAATGCATCCTGATTGAAAGGCAGGTCACACTGTAACGTTTGTCAATTACACAGGCGATTAAACGCTTTGTTCCCATCAGAAAGATATCAGAAGAGTTTGGCACCAGGTGCACTTACATGGCTTACATATATGGATAGATATTATTCATGTGTTGGACACACACGCACACAATTGACTGTTAACTTGCAAACATCAACTCCCCACATGAGACAATGTACTACATTGAGACCAGAAAGAGGAACAGGAGAAGAGGATGTATGGACTGATCTGCATGCAGCACGAGTACAACTCACAACTGTTCCAAGATCAGTCAGACATTTGAGTGCACGGGAATCGTCAAATGTTTGGTTCCGTATTAATATGTAGGTGGTTGATTCCCTGCACAGCACCAACAAACAATGAGGGACGAGGGAGACATGTGAGGACAGAGTCATCAATGATGCATTCGCACAACAAAAACAGAGGTAGATATGAATTCAAAGACGTGCCCATCCACGCCAACAGCTCAATGTGCGCTGGTGTAAGTTGAATGCGAATGTCTAATTTTAGTTTATCATGCTATCGTTTGCTAATTAGCACAAGGTGCAGCAGGGGCTTGTGGGAGGTTAGTCTAGCAGGGGATGGCTGCTGGACTCATAGCAGACGGTACAAATCACTAGTGCATCTAGTTATTGCTGTAAATGCACCAGCACACCAGTCCTTTTCCTGCTGTGATAATACAGGTCATTTTGGACTGCTATGCTAAAAAACAACAACTTAGAGTTGCTCTCAAATGTACTTTTCAAATCAGTTAATTGTTTCGCACTGAAAAAAAGTTACTTCCCCGAAACGGTGACTGAAACCTCCCACAGACCACATTTCATGAGAAAAGGCCAGTACAGAAAAGTTACATGAACCTTCCTTTAAGCAGTCAGGTGGTTTCCCAGCACGTCGCTGACGGACTTCTTGATTAACGGCTGCGTGGTTCAGAGGCACTGGGCCGGGAATGCCGAGTCACCGCTGAGGGAGAAGATGGAAATGCTGATTCATGTTCAGAAAAGGCCGAGGGGAGTATCCAAGACCACCCACCCCCGGTCCCCTTTTCCCCAACATGCAACCAGTGATCCGACCCCCACTTTACACAAACAAAACTGGTTCCTCCTGACCTTCCATGGTGGGAGGAGATGGGTGGAGGGCCTCCAACCGTCACACTCCAGCGGCCAACTAAAGGAGACCTCTTCTCCTCCACCTGATCGCACTCCAGAGGCATAGTTCTGCAGCCGCCCCGCAGGAATGCTGCTGGGAATCTGATCCCTGGAGAGATTACGAGGTGGAGATAGTGAGCAGATCCCCGGCTTCAAAAGAAACAACCGGTTTAGAAGCAGAGGTCCTTGGAGGGGTTGAAGGCAACAGGTCAAAACTACCTGAAGGGATGTGACAATGAGAAATAAGTCTTTATATTTTAAAACGAGCCATTAGTTTAGGGCTGCAGCACTAGAAAGCAAAGACATCTGCAGATTCTTGGACCCTTTAGAGTTTAGAGCAGACCTGATAATCCCCATTTAAAGATTCCACAGTAACCGTACTTTATCTATACAACCAACACGTTTTAATATCCAGGCTACATTGGATAAAAAGGAGACTGACAATTTAATTGACGAGCCCGAGTGTTTCCATCAACACTGAACTGAAAGGCCGACATCAAGGAGGGATGAGGCGACTCTTTGTCCATGTTGGATAATCCGGACCGCAGTGTTCTGCTGTCAAGACAGATACAGGAAACATTCCTGCCAGCTGCCATAAGACTGAGTACAACAAATCATCGGAGCCTTGGTTAATTGAATAGCTACTAGTTAATATGTTCTGCGCTAGTGTTTTATGTGCATTTTGAATTACTGCTTCAAATTCACCCTGGGATTAATAAATCTAGTTGCCATAAAACCTATTTTGGGGCTTACACAGTAAGAGTCTGAAGTCACTTATAATTGAAAGATTTTATTGGTTACAAACAGAGATCTTAAAAAGAAAAAAAAAATAGAAAATCAGATTACACAAGAATTGTAGCTTTCCTCAGCTTGAGATTTGGTTTATGAACAAGGGTATTGTGCCACGATCATCACACAAGCCCAAATACATCGGACTGAACACAGACCGGCGGGGTACGACCCGCGGAAGCGCCAGGGCGCGTCCCGCGGCGTAAACCGAGAACAAGTGCGCGCTCCTTGGAAAAAGGAAAAAAAAAAAAAAAGGTTCATGTTGTGAAAATTCAGGCAGCCGGAGGGTAACGAGGAGTGCTCCGTCCGTCCGTCCGTCCGTCCATCAGGACCACCGCTGGAGCAGAGGGGCCGCGGCCGCCAGCAGCAGCAGCAGCGCGGAGGCGCCGCTTGCCGCCGCAGCGCTCGCGCCGCTGGGAGTAGATACCGCGGGGCTCACTGTGGAGTTAAGTGCCTGCACCATCTGCGACAAACAAGACCACCGGCAGTTAGCAGCCGGTTTAGAAGGAAATGGGACTATTTTGCCATTGGAACTAATGCGTAAACGTGTCCAAGGACGCAAACAATTCAAATGTTACAGCCGAACGTTGAATGAAAAGATTTCTATGCGCATTGTTAAAGTTTAAAAACTCAACTAAAACGTTGGACAAATCTCCGATGACACCGGTAACCCTCTGCCCGGTCAGCAGAGGCTTCCGTTGAACTTACTTATTCTCTAAAATGGCAAACTACAAAAAGTTTTAACTTTTAAATCATTGCTACAACAGCATTGAGTGAAAAAGTAGCGAGCACCACTAACCTGCGATGAGAAGAGCTGGAGAGCCAGCAGGAGGCACGCGACAAACATCTTGCTCATATTGGCGGGGAGGACGCGCAGCTGGACGGACGGATTGGATGAGCGACTTGCGTGCAGAGACGCAGCGGTGATCTTTATACTGCCGGTGACGTCAGCTACTCAGTTCCACCTGCAGTGGATGTTGCCTTCAGGTAACGTCGGAAACACGTTCAACGCACGTGAACAGCTTTAATTTCCAGTCAGAATATTACCAATATTTGTGGGAGATCATCTGTGGCCTAAAAGTATTAGTTTTATTGAGAACTGTGGAGTTGTAATTTAATACATATTTTCAAATAGGTCTGCATGGGGAAAAAGTAAATTTTACCTTAGTCAAGAGTGATATGATTTCAGAAAATAATGTGGGGAAATCCTTCAAATAAAATAATCAAGGATTATTAGGAACACGCCCACTTCTGACCGGAAATGATCATCTTCAAAATAAAACCCCTCAAACGGACAACTGTCAGCTTCCACAATAGTACTTTTGGTCTCGGTGAGGATGCACAAGAAACGCCGCTTTCCAGCAACAGTTTGAAACGCGTTATTTTTCAATGCGACCTCGACACAGGTTTGACCCAACGGGCTTTCCGTAGTTGTCCTTGCATCAATTCCTCCCGGAAGAAACAAAGCGTTGCGCTGAGGCCGGAACATAACACCGCGATAGCTGCGCTCTGTCAAACCTCCGGAACACGCCGACGTCTTCGCTTCTTTGCGGGTTTCTTGTCCACGGAGCCGCTCCGCCTCTCCATGCTGCTGTGCCGGGTTTCGGCACTGAGCCGGACGGCGGCGAGATGGGGACGGAGGTCACGGCCGGGAGACGGCCTCCTCCGCCGGGCTCTCTCCCTCAGCTCCGGCCGCCGTCTGTGTGCAAGTTCCGGCGAGGCCGGAGCAGAGAGCGGCTCCGCTCCGGGACTGTACCGAGACACGGTGCTCCTCCCCCGGTCCGAGTTCCCCATGAAGCTCACCGGACAGAAGCTACTGGAGCGAGAAGTCCGGATCCAGCAGGTAGGACGAGCCGAGCAGGACGCCTTCTAGCGCATGTTCACCTCCTCTTGCACGGCAGCCTGCCACCTTTCTGAGGGATGCAGACTGGAAGTATTGTTATAGTATAACATGAAGTATTGACAACAATGACGTGATTCATCGGTGCATATTTCCCATCCATCCAATCTAACCTGCTCTACCATCTTACTGGTCAAACCCCTTTACAGATCCATTCAGATCAATGACGTTTGGTGTTTTTCATTACTCCAATTCTCGCTGCTGTTGCAGGAGTGTGGATTCGCAGATCTGTATTCCTGGCAAAGAGAGCGGAAGGCCAAGAAGGAGTTTTGTTTACACGACGGTCCTCCGTATGCCAACGGAGACCCTCATGTAGGACATGCGCTCAACAAGGTGATCCGCTCTGAATCCCTCGCCTCGCGCCCTTCCTCTTGTTGTTTGTGGCGCTTTTTTTTCGCTTTCTGAGCCGTGGTCTTTCAAAACAAACTTGTGTGTTTGCTCCAGATCCTGAAGGACATCCGGAACCGCTTTGAGATGCTGAGGGGCCGGCAGATCCACTTCGTCCCGGGCTGGGACTGCCACGGCCTGCCCATCGAGCTGAAGGCTCTGGGGGAGTTGGGGACCAGCGGCCTCAGCCCCCTGCAGATCAGACGGAAAGGTAAAGGAGGGGGGCGGCGGCGGGGGGGGGGCTGTCGTAGCGTTGCAGCCGCTGTAATGTTTTCATCCCATCCAGCGCGGGAGTTTGCGGAGGGGGCCGTAGCCCGTCAGAAGGCTGCCTTCCAGCGCTGGGGCCTGATGGCTGACTGGGACCAGTGCTACTACACGTACGACGGCGCCTATGAGGCCGCTGAGCTGAAAGTGTTCCAGGAGATGCACAGCAAGGTGGGGAAGATGTGCTCCATGGCAACATCATGTGGCTCAATACGGAAATAAAGACATACTAGTTACTGCAATCGGGGATTACTGGATGCACCGAAATGGGATTGAAGCAGATTTTTGCCTCTCAGTTATTCTCCAGAGAGTCTAATATAGATATTTGTTTTCAGGGGCTCGTCTACCAGGACTACAAACCGGTCTTCTGGTCCCCTTCATCGAGGTGCCTGAGTTGGTTCGCCTATGCAGAGGTCGCCCTCCGCGGTCCGCTTCATTCCCGTCTGTGTGCCTCCGTAGAACGGCCCTGGCAGAGGCGGAGCTGGAGTACAACCCGGAGCACGTCAGCAGAGCCATCTACGCCGCGTTCCCCCTCAGCACGCTGCCCGCGGCCATGGCCTCGGCCGGACTGGAGGGGGGCGTCTCCGTGTTGGTGTGGACCACGCAGCCCTGGACCATTCCTGCTAACCAGGCCGTGTGCTTCATGCCCAACGCCCAGTGAGTCGCGGCAACGTGGCGCGGCGCCATTCGCTGTTATTTCAATTAGTGGCGCATCTTGTAAATATGTTCACAATCGTATCGAGTCCACGACGGTTTAGAAAATAAGGATAAATGTTAGATTAGTTGGCCTACAGATTATAACCCAAACAGGTTTAGTTTATTATCATATAAAGCAAAGACAACTAACCCATTTTCACATTTCAGAGACGGAAACAAAAGATTTGTTGGAAAATTATATATATATATATATTTTTTTTTTCATGAAAACTCACACTTTTATTGATCAAATCAGTTGCAAAATGAATAGAAAATATAGTGAAGACATTGACGAGATTAGAAGTAATGATTTTTATTTGAAATATGAATTTTGTTCTTCAAACTTGCTTTTGTCAAAGAACGCCCCTTTTGCATTCTAGCTGTTCATTTGTTGCCTCCAACGCTTCCTGGCTTTGATTTGTCTGTCCAACGTCTGTGGTCCTTTGCCCATATCAGTCCATTCTTTTTATTGGCCGGGCTCAGATACTGTACGGCTTTTTCTTTGCCACTCCGCACTGTGGACGCGTTGCGGGTTCCATTTAAAGAAGCTGCCTGTGAGGCGTCTACTTCTCAAACTAGAGACTGTAACATGCGTGTCTTCTTGCTGAGTTGAGCACCGAGCCTCACACTTCTCTCTCCGCTCTGGTCTCAGCCTGTTTGTTCTCTCAAGGGAGCAGTTCACACCATAGTAGGACATCTTCTTCAGTTCCTTTGCCATTTCATTCGTGGAACAGCCTCCATTTCTAAGAACAAGAATAGATGTGAGTTTTTAAGAGAATTCTTAAGCGTTCTCTTTTTCTGGCTATTTTGAGACAAACGTGACGCTCCAGTTACTCAACCAGCTCAAAGGGAGGCCAGTTTTATAGCATAATGCACAAGGGGTTTCTAATCATCCATTAGTCTTCTAAGGCGACGAGCAAACCCAATGCACCATCACAACGCTGGAGTTTATAGTGTATTTTAAAATAAGGCCCTTTCTTACAGCGAACAGTCTCGTTGAGCACGTGCTGGGTCGCTCTAGAGCAGGGGTCTCAAACTCGCGGCCCGCGGGCCAATTGCGGCCCTCGGGACAATATTTTGTGGCCCCATCCTTAATATGAAAGTGTAATGTTAGTGCGGCCCGCAAGTTTTATACTGTAACCCCACTGTCAGCTGCTGTGTGGGACATGTTATGATGTTCTGGTTTCCTACTGTGTGCTTGTCCAGTGAACGTGGCATGCATGTGACTGACATGGGGGGCGGGTCGTGTGTGTCGGCCGAGGTGCAGAGAGCAGGAGGGTGAAATTCAGTTTCCTGCCCTCTTTCGCGCAGGTGATCATGTGACTAACCGTTAGCATCGCTCGTTTAATAAAGTTTTCCTTTACGACTCACACTAACAACACATGAAGCATCTGACGGCACCGACGAGCGTCTCCGTCCATTACTACGCAGCTTCGATTCACGTAACTTCACGTTTGGCTATAAAGGAATTCCACGGTCACATGACCTTAGGTCTCCCCCGCTGAGTTAAAGGAGGACTAGTGTTGTAGTCTCATTCGGACCGATCCCCCAGGGTGGGGTTCAATGACTGCTTTTGAAAGTGAGTGTCAAGTTGTGTTATTGTCGACCATGCCGTTCGGACGCTAGTCTGGCCCGCGTTCGGTTGAAGTGGGCTGCATCTGGCCCGCAGCTGATTTGAGTTTGAGACCCCTGCTCTAGAGAGTCTGAGCAGTGCTCGCTTCCGCCATCGAGTCCAAACTTTCCGCTTTCAAAGCGTCACGTACGGACTCGGCGTCCCTGTCGCCCGCAGGTACTCGGTGCTGAAGAGGACGGACGACTCTCAGCTGCTGTTGGTGGCCACTGAGCGCACGGCCAGCGTGGCAGCGCTGCTGGGCGCAGAGCTGGAGAGTGTGGGCACCTTCACAGGTACTACAGACGCACACACAAACACACACACGCGCACACACACTGTCTACCCGTCCGTTACCAACATGACCCCGCTAATGTCCTCTGTCCTTCTGTCCCAAGGCTCCCAGCTTGAGGGCGGGATGTGCACACATCCCACAGTCCCCGACAAGCTGGTGCCGCTGGTGCCGGCCAATCACGTGACGATGGCCAAAGGAACGGGGTTGGTCCACACGGCGCCGGCTCACGGCATGGAGGATTACAGCGTGGCTTCTCGGTTTAAACTCTCCGTGGTACACGCCGTTTCTTACATGTGGACCTTTGGCGAATGGATGAAAGCGTGCTGTTTGCACCGCGCGAGTCACGTGTGAAGTGACACGGTGGACACGGTTGGTCCTCTGTGTAACTGTGTGTGTGTGTGTGTGTGTGGACGTTTTTCTTCCTCGGAAGGAGTGTATGGTTGACGAGGACGGCGTGTTCACCCACCTGGCCGGCCCTGAGCTCCACCGGCTGCCTGTGATGACGGAAGGCACCGACAAAGGTACGCAGGGACCAAGACGCGCGCATTCGGCCCCGCGCGCCCCGTGCTGACCCCCCCCCCACACCCCGCGTGGTGCTTGTGTGCAGTGATCCGCATGCTGAAGGACGCCGGCGCTCTGGTGAAGGAGGAGCAGTGCGTCCACAGTTACCCGTACGACTGGAGGACCAAGCAGCCCGTCGTCATCCGGCCCAGTAAGCAGTGGTTCATCAACACGGCGTCCCTTAAAGACAAGGCCAAGGTAGAACTGCTGCTGATGGAGCAATGCGGTGTGCGCTCCCAGGAAGACACTTCACATACGCTGTGTGTGTGTGCGTGTGCGTGTGTTCAGGAGGCGCTGCAGAAGGTGCGTGTTGTGCCAGAGTCGGCGCGGGGCAGCCTGCTGAGCATGCTGGACAGACGGACGTACTGGTGCATCTCCAGACAGCGGAGCTGGGGCGTCCCCAT